GCAGTTGGTCATGTCAGAGGGCGACCGCCGACTGCTTGGCTTGCATTGGTTGAAGGGGTAGTAGAGAGCGAATATTTTATGCTCACTCGCCATGCGATGCGCGTCAATCATACGGCCCACTTGTTCAACTCTTACCAAGATGATATATAATACAACAAATTAAATATTTATTCTGTAATATTTATATTTTAAATAATAATTTAATATTTTTAATTACGTAATATAAATATATAATACAACAAATTAAATATTTATTCTGTAATATTTATATTTTAAATAATAATTTAATATTTTTAATTACGTAATATAAAATTAAAATAGAGAGAGAGATATATATGTGAATAAATGAGATTGTTTATTAATGGAGAGTGTGTTGATATGTTAATTAAGTTGTCTGATACTAAAAATCGTGCAGAAAAGATGTTTTTGAGGGATAAAAAAAAATTAGATGAATTTTATATAATTGTATCAAAGTATATAAAAATTAGATCAATATTAACGTTATTGTGATTTTATATATTAAGAGTTCAACTTGTTAAATGTAATATTAGATAAATAGTTACTATAAACTTTTCTTGATTTGGATTCGATGCTTATGCATTAGGTTTTTTTCAATACTCAACCAAATCTCCATTTGAATTATCAACCGATTAGATCGTCGTATAGTTTAACGTTAGTTATGTCAATCTAATAGATATAAATTTAATTGACTAAAAATAAATTGATATTTTTTATCAATAATTAAAATTCATTTTATCATATTTCCCAGTGTCAAATTCGAATAGTTCTAATATTTAATTTGATTATTATTCCAATTAGAATATTATATACATAATTGAATGTTATTCTAAACTGAAATTTAAATGTAATTTCTAAATTTATTAAAGGACCTATTACGAGAGTGGAGTCACGCTGTTCAAATGCGAATGGGGTCGTATTATTCTCCTACTCAACTCCCACTTACTTAAAAAGTAAGGGAGGCGGTGGGTAGCTGCCAGCTGGCCAGAGTCGGAGGAGGTCGGATTGCGTGTGGCTAATCTCATAAATTGATTGCAAAATTGGGTCCCGAGATAACAGTATCTTATGTGGCAAAATCGTACTGGGAAAGGAAATGTAATTGGGTCCTACAACTTCGGGAATTGCACCACTCGGGGGGTGGAAGCATTCTCCGCCATGCGGAGCCAACACATGGTATTATAAACCTAAAAATTATGTGGGGAGCTGCCCAATGAGAGGTGCTTATAATTGTGCTGTGGTCCCACAACATTAAATTTGAGCTGGAATTGACCTTTGATCAGTACCGTTATTTTGGCGGGTAGCCGTTGGTGTTAGGCTGTTGGAGAAATGAGTTATTTTTATGAGCAATTTTATATTTATAAAATAATTTACTAATTTTTTATTATAAATAATGTTATATAGTTTTGACCGTCTTATAAATAGATCTCATTTATATTCAAAAATAAAGATTGTGACATATCATTTGAAATAAAAAATTTAATACACACATTTGATTAGTATATTTTTATCCTATTTTTACTTGATTAGATATTAAAATCTTAATTTAATGGAGTTGTGAGTACAGGATCTTGCACAATATAAACACGAGAACATATCTCTTCCTTGGTGAACTCGAGTGAGTCAGTCGAGTGGTCAACCCTGCTGCTTGGAACAGCCTGTGAGGTCCGGTGGTAACCTGAAATGGTAATGAAAGACTCTCGTGGATCAACGGAACGATCCAGTAAGGCTGAGGAAGGTTACTGATTGTGCACACATTGCCTGTACCTAATTATCACCTACTGACCACACTGACAACAATCATGAGTTTTTAAAGTATAAATATTCCTCGCAAAAGGCAAGACGGTATGCAACGAAAAACCTTGGCTACAAATTATACTCAGTGGTTTCTTTTTCTTCTCTCTCAAAAACTGACTTGATCGTCGGAGGGGATACGCCGAAAAACATTTCGGCGCCCTTCTAACTTGTCTTTCTTTGTTCTAGGAACCTTCCTCAGTCTTACTGGATCGTTCCGTTGATCCACGAGGGTCTCCCATTACCGTTCCAGGTTACCACCGGACCTCATAGGCTGTTCCAAGCAGCAGAATTGACCACTCGACAGACTCACTCGAGTTCACCAAGAGAGAGATCTGTTCTCGTATTTATATTGTGCAAGATCCAGCACGCACATGAGTGAAATATAATGTTCAAATATTGTTTATATCTTATTTAAGAATTTAATATGATAAGATAATCAATTAGAATTGTTTGCTTAAAAGTTTTTTTTTTTTTGGGTCGCCTTTGCTTAAAAGTTGATTTCATGTAATAATTAGACTAATAATTACAATAGATAAAATTTTTATAACATTATTCAACGTTTTTACGAGAGTTACAATTTTTTGATACTTTAAGAATATATATGAGAATATTGAGTGCTTGTGATGCTTATATAATAATAAGCAATGTTACATAATTTAAAAAGTAGACTTAAAAATTAGACTTGATAATTTCAACTATTAATTTCACTGTAGGTCCCAGCATTTATTAGAATCCACTACCTATTCAATGGTTGAGATTATCAAGTCTAATTTTTAAGTCTATGTAACATTACCTTATAATAATACTTTTCAAAGGAAAAAACTCTAAACATGACAAGATTGTAACATCCATGAGTGAAATATCTTCTCTGCTGTAATAAGCTATGAGCACAGTCAACATCAGATCGGATCGGATCGGTTTAATCGTAATCCATGACCTTAACCAGTCTGATTCTCTAATTAGACTGTTTAAAGAATAGAATCGACTCAAAATCGATAAACCAACCACTTTTTGGTCAAAACCATAAATTTGTTGATTTCTTAAAATCGAACGGTTCAAATTCCACTCATTATATAAAAAAAAAACTCTTTTTGGGCCATTTTGCCCAAAATTAATTCTATTCCAACTTCGTCTTCACTCCTCCAGGCGACGAATAGCTCCAGGCATGGTGACGCAACTCCCTCGATTAGCAACAACTCTCTTACTCAATCTTGATTCTTTCTAGATCTGGACTTTCTCCACTCAATTTCTCTCACTTAGTTGATCTGAGTCATCTCTCTCACTAAATCTCTTATGTTCTCCTTGGTTATGGTGGTGGTGTTAATTTCTACAATTATTCAAATTTGTGTTATTTGATTGTTCAAATGTGTGATCAGAAAAAGAAAAAAAAATGTTCAAACTTCAAAGTCTGTCCTTATCTTTTGTAATCTTTATCTTTTATATGATATTTGAACACATGGGTTTCTAATTTTTTCTACTTAACTTCATTAATTTTATGACAAATTGTATGAATTTTAGACATATGTAGTTGAAATATTTTGTTCTGTAGTGTTTGTAATTTTTTTATTATATAGTCGGCTGATCAGTTGATCCAACGGTTGAACCAATGAACCATTGGCTCGATTCCTCTGCCGATTCAATGGGCGATCCAATTCTGATAACATTGTATAAACATCATAGAATGATAGCTTGAATAGGATCATACATGGTGGGTGATTTCTACTTACTATTTCCAAAAAGTCTAGTTAGTGGAGATAAGGATGTATTGTAAGCACAAATAATTTGAGTTTAAAATTTGATAATTTTTTTGGAGTCAGAATATGAGTAATTTATTTCTTATAAATTTTTTAGTCTCGGCGTGGATGACTTGTCTTTGACTTAAGACTAAAAATTGAGTCGAGCTTGTCGAACTCGCTTTTTTAAACGAACTCTAAAAAATGTTCAAGTTTGGTTTGTTCAAACCAAAATAACTAGATTATTTTACATATAAACGAGTCGAGTTTTTTATGTTTGTTTTTCTAAACGAACCTAAAAAATTATTTAAGTTTAACTCATTTAGAAAATAAATCGAACTCAAACTAAATTCAAAATGAGCTAAATCTAAGTCGACTCGATTATCAACCCCACTTTAATCTGACTGAAAAAAAAATTAATCAACATGCACATAAATTGATCCTAACACCCTAACCGTAATCCCCTAAAATAAGAAAAATAAAGTCCAATTAGTTGATAGCATATATATGTTGTGGGTTCCATTGACCAATGCTAAACAGGTGAGCTTCCATCAGTCATCATGAGGTGCCTTTCCATACTTCTTTCATAATCTATAATTAATTTTATTATTAATAATTTGTTTATTTTTAAACACTAAAAGCAGACAGGAGTACTGTATATTATAGTAACAAAGAACTTCTAATAAGGTGCAGTATCCACGAACACCATACCCTCCAATCACAACCCACCACCTTCAGCCTCTCTCTGCTTTTCTCTCTCCTCTCTGTTGTTGTTCTGCAGATCTCTGTCTCTCCTCTTCTCTCTTCAACTATTTTATCCAATTTAGATTCATTCCTTGAAGCTTGCTAGTTTGCTTTTTTCCGTTCTCATCATCTTTTTCCTGCTTTCTTCTCTTTTCTTTGCTGCTCATACATCAAGGTAAAAGGAAGAAAGCACACACGCCCCTTTCCACTTTTTTCTTACCCAGACCCCGTTCCTCAGAATTCAGAATTCCCCACTGTTTTCTCACTTGGGTTTTCGTTTTCCAGCTTTTTGGTGTCCTTGTTCTCTCCAGGCTCTTCAATCACCTCTCTCTCTCTCTCTCTCTCTCTCTCTCTCACACACACACACACACAATTGAGACATCAAGAGGTTGAAGCTGAAGAAAACTAGTATTTACTCTCACTAACAAGCTGTCCTCCATTCCAATTCTCCAACACCATCTATTTCATTTTCTTTGAATTATTTCTGGATTTCAGCTCTTTTGTACCCTTTATTTTCGAAAAAAGTTCAACGAGTTCAGGCTCTTGATGATGGCTTCTAGGTTTTTAACTTTTTATCTTAGGGAGATGGTTTAATTCTAATTTTACTTTTTCAAATGCGAAGATTTTTTTTTATTTTTGATTTTGGAAAGGTCGGTTCTTTTTAGATTCCTCGGGGGTGGCTATAGGAAAACAGGGTATTCTGATTCCTCACAAATGCTTATTGATTTAACACTTGTTTTCCCATTGTGAAACCTCCGCTCCACCTCTCCCCCACTCTTGCTCTGTTTTTCCGTCTGTTTCATCAAAGAATTCAAGAATTTTTTGACCCAATTCAATGATGCAGAATTGCTAATTATATCAAGTTTTTAAGACTGTTATTCTCACAGTTATTCAGTTTTTATGAGGTGGGCTATGGAAATTCTATCACCAGCTTCTTATTTTTCGAACTCAAGGTGGTTGATTGACGACAGCAAAAAGAGTACCACATGGACACCTGAAGAGAACAAGAGGTTTGAGAATGCTCTGGCATTGTTTGATAAGGACACGCCGGATCGGTGGCAGAAAGTGGCGGCAATGGTTCCGGGGAAGACGGTGGTGGATGTAATGAAACAATATAAGGAATTGGAGGATGATGTTAACAGTATAGAAGCAGGGCTAGTTCCAATTCCTGGATATAGTACCTCGCCTTTTACATTGGAGTGGGGAAACAGTCATGGTTTTGATGGGTTCAAGCAGTCATATGGTCCTGAGGGTAAGAGAGCTTTATCAACTAGGCCTTGTGAGCAAGAAAGAAAGAAGGGTGTACCATGGACAGAAGAAGAGCATAAGTAAGCTTTCCCTTCAAAGTCATGTTCTTTTGTAAATTTTAGTGTACAGGCCTACATGGTAGTTCAGTATATGATACATCCATTGCGCCAAAGAGACTAGTTTTACAGCTCAAACACACCGGTGATGCCTAGGTGACAATAGAACATCCTTGTCCTATTCCGAGGCTCTCCTATAAATTTGTGTGTCATGATGCTAAAATTTCATTCAAGCATGCTATGAAACCAGTTTTTCTGTAGAACTCAATTTGGTGTGCTAGTTTTCTTTCAACGGAGAGCATGACCATCAGACCATATAATCAAAGAGCAATGGTATGTGTACCAAATGATTGTCAGTTGTCTGTTGGATGATAGTGGGCCCCACTATCATCCAACGGTTGACAATCATTTGGTGTATATATTCTTGATTTAATGACAGATGATCATGATTTTCACAATATATATATATAGATATTACAAGAATAACTATGCTGACTTCATTGTAGAAATATTTCTACTAGTTATGTTTTCTCTTTGCTAAATTCTGTTTCATTTTTGCTAAGCAGACTGTTGTATGGTTTTTCTTCTTTACTATATCAACATTCACCTAAATATTTGGTATGGGTGGCTTTGAATATTCCTTCACAGATTGTTTTTGATGGGGCTTAAGAAGTATGGAAAAGGGGACTGGAGAAATATCTCCCGCAATTTCGTGATCACCAGAACTCCGACTCAAGTGGCCAGCCATGCCCAGAAGTATTTCATCAGGCAGCTTTCGGGGGGAAAAGATAAGAGAAGAGCAAGCATTCATGATATAACAACAGTTAATCTCAATGACAATCAAACTCCTCCTTCACAAGAAACTAAAAAACCTCCTTCACCAGAGCAATCTACCACACTCTCCCGGGAGATGAATTCTGCTTCCATGTCCAAAACTTGTCAGTGGAATCAGCCAAATGATGGGGCTGGCATGAGTTTTGATTCAACACATGAAAATGTTTTCATGTCACCACCTTACGGGGTTAATAATTCATATGGGCTTAAAATGCAGGGGGGCCAATATATGCAAAGAGGTGCTTTGAATGAATCTTATTTTGCGCCTCAGAATATGGTTTTTCAGATGCAGATTGCGCAGCAGTATACTCATGGATGAGATCATTATACCGAAAACTATGGATTGGAACTCCATGTCTCAGTTTAGTTCAGTAGCATAGTTGTGTTTCTTCAATTTGCTGGTGTTTTTTTTTGTGAATATGTTTGGCACTTTTGAGTTAGTAGAGAGCAATTGAACTTGAGGAATGTTGGACTCTCTCTCTGTGTTGGTAGGAATTTCAAATTCCAAGTTGCCAAATTTCAACCTAGAATAGAATAGACACTCTCTGCATGAGGATAATATGCAGATTCCATGTATGTTTGGGAATGTGGTGGTTTCAGGAATAAACATATTAGTTTCGATGCAAGAGATTGATTTCATGCTCGAACTCATGATATATCGTTTGAGCGAGAAGAGAAAAAAAAAAATACGTGACATCGCTTCATGTCCTATCTTCCTAGAATGTCATTGGATGCTCATTTTGAATTGGCTGAATCACAAAGCACTCTCTTTCCAACTATTACTCAGCTTTCTGTGGTATGATGCAAATTTCATTCACAAAAATGTGCTTATTGACAAAGCTTGACCTGCAAATTTTAGTAGAAGCCGAGTATAGATTCCACTAATTGAGTCATCAGACGGGTCAAAACACTCTCTTGCCTTTTCTCTTAAAGATAATTTCTCCTTTTTTTGAGATCTTTTCTCAAGCATCCTTTTGAGAAAGAAGAAGATCCTACATTAAAAAGCAATGATTAAAGATTAAACTAAAAATGTATATGTTAGTACAAATTTAGATTCATGCCAGATTACACTGCTTTTGGAAATTTTTTCCTGTAACTCCTCTTTTAATACAATTTTAATCTCTTCAAAGATCCAGTTGATAAGACTACTTTACCAACCATGTAAAACTAATCAAAAAAGGTTTTCGCTGTTGTTCAATGTGCCTGTTAATGGAGACAAAACTACTTAGCTTTTAATTCGGCAGAGAAAGTCCCTAGTCAGTTTTTCACTCAGTTTTAATTATTCAGATGAAGAAACTTTTTTTCTTTCTAATTAAGTGGTTTTGAACTAATGATGGCACTAATGGGCCTTTGATCTAATAATACTCCTTACCTTATGAAGGCTTTACCTTTTTGTGATCAAGGGTTCAAACTCCTTTCCTCCTCCCCAAAAAAAAAAACTAATGATGGGTGCTCAGTCAAATGTTTTGATCAATTCTAACAATATACAATTGATAAGATCAATTCCAAACAATTCTATTTTGTTGTAACACTAGTCATAATCCGTGTTTGAAGGCACGATGAAACATGAAATTCAAACGCGTAAAAAATTGATCCCATGATATTAAATGTTTTTTAATATGTTGATACTATTGAATAATGGTTGAAATAAAATTAAATATTAAATAATTAAAAATATGATAAAAATGAGTGATGTGATATTTTTAAGGAGAAAAATATATAAAAGATAAAAATTCAAATTGTTATGTGTTTTATTTTATAGATTTTTCGATTGAATCATAACTTTGGTTACAATTCGGAAGGTAATCCTTTGGTATTGTAGTTTTTCCTATGAACTTTGATGGAAGTCGACATCATTATTCAGCCATCTAATTATTTTTTTTGTTTTTCTCTCTCAATCATTGTAGACAAGCAAGAATTTGGCCTACATCACAAATTTTCAATTAAAATTTTTTTTTTTAAATGGTAACTGGTTCAAGAGTAATGACATGTATTACAAATAGTTTATCTAATATTGTTTACCAAATAAACGTAGATGGTTGGATCAATGAGTCATGCTAAAAAAAATTAACGAAACCTCCTGATTCAAAATTCATATTGATTTGTGAAATAAAATTTTGTAAAACTTTTGGTAACTGTTTTTTTTTTTTAACGAAAGGAAAAGTTTTATTGAAACCAAAAAATTAAAAGAATCAAAAAATTACAAACAGTTTGGTAACTGTAACAGTGTTTACTGTTCAGTAACACTATTGTTTCTGCTTCTGCAGCAGCATGAAAAGCCCAAACAAGCATTGCATATAGTATATTTGTATCCCACCCAATAAGCAATGATTTTTTTTTTTTTTGGGTTCAATGTCTGGATTATCTTATGCTCATTTTTATTAATCTCCTCTTCAATCCGGTTAAAGACAAATCATCCACACCAGAATTAGGATATTCATAAGGGATAAAATTTCTCCTAATCTAACCCTAAGAAATTATTAAAATTTAAACTCAAAACATCTGAATTTATAATTCGTTCATGTCACCGCCCAACTACCCAAGGCAACCTAAAGAATATGACCATTGAAATTTCTTTTGTGTAGTAGATAACAAAACTGACCACTTTATTTTGGAAAAGGAACAGCATTTCTGCAACTTGCAGAAGAGAGCACCTTGCCCACTTTATTCCAATTTTCATCTGCCCCTCAACTTGTAACTACCACTTCAAAACTTTCGGTAATCCAAATGGGTTTCTTCTCTATTCGTAGAAAATATTCTGATTCTTCTTTCTTAGTAGTAATCTTAATGAATGAAATAATAGACACTATTAACTCTTAGAGGTGATTTAGTGGTTGAGTCAGTCTTTTGATAATTCAGAGGTTTCAAGTTCAATCTCTTCTCCTACCTCTTAAGGATTATCACCTTTGTCTTTTTGGGAACGTCCTCTAGACCAGCTCAAATCACGGTGGCCCACCGTTGAGTTCAAATGAGTAATTAACGAAAAGTTGGACACCCCGTAACAAAAATAAAAATAAAAATAATAGACACTATTTACAAGTGATGCTATGATTCGTAGATAAAAAGATTAGGGAAAGTTCATTGATGGGTTATTTGGGAGCAAAGTTTCACTCCCTACTCGGCTTAAGCCCATCAGACTAGTTGAGATGATACAACTTCAGTGATTAATAATATGTTGAGTTTCTAATTTCAAGGCTCAACATAAACACTTTATCAGTGATTGCATACATATCAAATTCACGCCACGAGCACATATAACTTACTTTTTTTAAGGGATCTTATAACGTATAAGAGAAAAGAATAAAAAAGAACCGAAAGCAGGGATGCATAATACCCCTATTCCATCACAAACTAAGACAATTGAACAATCAAAATCCATGGCATCAAGTGAAATATATTATGCGCTCAAAATCTCATGGCATCTTCGGACAGAGAGAGAATGGTGCAAAACAAACGACATATAATCATTCAAAAGTAGGTGAATTCGGTTAAGGAGTAGTAAAATGAGTTAATTCCTATTTCTGACCACAAAATTTTCGAAATTGACTCTTTTTTTTCCCATGTTTTGTGGAGGTGTCATGTTGCCTCTCTTAAGTCATCTAATAGCGATATTGCCTTAAATTGTTTTCATCCTATATACCCTACTCATCCATAATTAGGCATAGCAACGATTGCACAATTACCCTAAACTAATATGAGGTCTTGAAAAGGCATCGTATTCGATCATTTTACCTCAACAACAATGGGATGACATTATATTCCGTGTATTTAAAATTGAAGCTTCTTCATCCATCAGTGCTACTGAGACGAAGAGGAGAAGATAGACAATTAGAGAGATGCACGCAAACACAGAGAAATTGCGAGAGGTAAAAAACGTTGGGAACCACTTATAATCTAATGACCATAATTACTATGTCCCTAAGCATTGCTCATCTAAAAATACTCTTATCATCATACATTACATAATGTGATACTAATTACCTCTTTATAAGTAACATAAGAGTTACTTTACCTGATTGCCAATCTTAGTAATAATAATAATAACAGTTATTATTATCATTAAAATTATACAGGTCAGGTGAAATAATACAGAACAGGAAGAATACAAGTTGAAGTTCAATACAAACTGGGCATTTCTTTAGTGACTTGCCCTCTGTCTTTTTTGGTTCGTTCAAGAAACTCAAGAGCTTCACCCAGCTTAGGATAACAAAACCAACCAATTCTAAAACACTTTCTTACTGCTTGTTAATCCAAATCCAAAGGGAAATAGAGGGTCAAATGAGTTATCCCCAGCCCGCATTGGCAGCTGATTAACTGTTTTAAACCAAGTGATTGGGAGTCTTCCCTGAAACTCATAATCTCCAAATATCACATCTGTAATTCCAACTCCTTCACTGCCTGGCAACCAAGCAGCAATCAGAGCATCTATTTTTTCCAATAGTGATGGTTCCAGAACCAATGGCCTTCCGGAGATCAGAATCATCAGCGTGGGAACTTTGTCAGCAACTAAGCTTACCAATTCAGGGCCATTGAAGGGAATTGTCAGCACTGGATTGTCGCCACCCGTTTCTGCGTATGGCTCTTCACCCACCACCACGATGGCATATGAAAAAGCTTGACCAGTAAAGGTTTCCGGTGATGGATTTTGTTCATATATGACTTCCGTTTTGTCTCCCACAGCTTCTTTAACAGCATCCAAGATGGTTGTGCCTAATAAGTAGATGATCTCATAGTTAGCTCACATGCATTTTACCCTTTTTAAACTACTAACATAAAAGTTTTACTCTTCCACTAGTTTAACATTAGTTGTTTATCATCTCGATTAACTGAAACCATGTCAAAAATCAATGGTCATTTTAATTTTGAGGTCAACTTATTGCTAATAATGATTCTATTAGGTATATTTGCCAAATAACCACTTACCAATCGTAGTTCTGCCACTACTTCCTGCCCAAGTGATTGTCCATCCTCCACATTGGTACCCAAGATCATCAGCATGTGTTCCAGTAACAAGAATTCTTTCAGCATTTCGATCCAGAGGAAGAAATGGTTTCTTTGGATCCTTCCCATTCTTTAAGAGAACCAAGGACTTGCGAACCGCTTCACGTGCTAGTTCCCTATGCGCCTGACATGATTTTCATTATGTAAAACCCTTAGCTTTGAATGCTATCAATAACAGCAGGACTCAATGGATAACATTCAATTGACTATTTTTCTTAACAGAGAACAAAATGAAGATTCAAAAGTTGAGATGGTAAATCTCACAAAATGGAAAATATGCCAAATTCAATCAACCTCTAAATAAATCAGGGTTTGTCATATTTTTCTTACGACAAAACAGCCATAATTTGTACATGAAGTCGATAAAACATTAAAGAGTTCTACAGATTTACCTTGCAACCAACTAAATCTAACAAAGATCTATCACTCAGGGGATGCTCAAAAAGTCCAGCAACAAATTTGACTCTGAGGATACGTTCAACAGCATCATCTACCCTGGTCATTGGTATCGCCCCCGATTCTACCAGGTACATCAACTCATTCAAGAAAAATTGGTATCTAAAAGGAACCATAACCTGAAAAGTTTCAGCAAGGTAAATAGAGATATGGATTATGTGAAAGACCTTATTGTTTGGGCTTCAGCAACTGAAATTTAATATCTACCATATCTATTCCTGCATTGACAGTAGACAAGATGCAGTTACGATAGTTTGACCCATATGGATCAGCAAGTCTGTCAAGTGCTTCCCAGTCTGAAATTAAAAAACCCTGGTGCAGAACACATTTGAAGTTAATGTCTAATGAAGATAGCATACTAGCATGGTAATTAATCTAAAATGTCATTTTATCCTCCCCAAACCCTAGGCCAATGAGATTTTGAATTAAATTTACCTTAAATCCCAGCTTATGTTTTAATATTTCTGTTAAAAGAAAATAGTCAGCGTGTAATTTTCTTCCGTTCAAGCTAGAATAGGATGCCATAACTGTGCAAACACCCTGAGAAATACAGTCCAAATATGGCGCCAAATGGATCCTCTCCAAATCTTCATATGATGATATGGTATTCCCCTCATTTATACCTTTGTCAGTTCCACCATCGCCAACAAAATGCTTGGCACATGCAATAACATTGTTCCTGAAATCAAGTGAGTTAATGAACATGAACATAAGTGGATGTCTCAAATAATATCTCAAACAGAACAATAGCCAAATATTAGGAGATAGACAACACAGAGACAACATAGCTATCTTTCATCCAAAATCTCCTCAAGAGGGAAAAAAGGAAGCTTCAACAAGCTTAAATCAGTCCACCTAATATAAATTTTGATTTTGCTTTTTACACCATGCAATATGAATTCCTTGTCATGCAATGAAAATTACTCAAGACGCAATGAGTATAAACTAGGAATGAGGACCAAATACAAAGATATGGGATGATTATTTCTATATACCTTCCACCTACAAAAGGATAGCCCTTTGGGTGTCCTTGGGGTGGCTGCCCTTGTAAGCCTGTTATCAGGGAAGTCATCTTTCTAACAACTTCAGGGTCTTCACTATAGCTTTCATAAGATCTTCCCCATCTAGAATCCTTGCAAACCTGGCAAAATATAGTCAAATTGTTATGCTGGAAAAATCAATGTCCCTCACAAAAGAGCAGTTCAGACGACATGACAACAACCAATTTGAATCCTAGGAATAAAACCACATTACATTTAAGTCTTTCATTTGAGGATGAATCTCACCATACACAACTTGAATATGAGATCCAAATTTTGTCCTACATAACGGTCAAATAAATTTATGCATTCCACCCAAAAAGGTATTACCTAAATCACATAGAGCGGGGGCATAAAATTGCAGGAAAATTCAAAAAAAATTTAGAGTGGGAATGCCTTGAGAGCGTCATATTATATGCATACAAACACATTTATATAATAAAGTACAATACAATGCATATCTCAAAAGATAAACAAAATAACTTTTACTTTTCGCAATTGAGATTTTTTAAAATTTTACTTTAAAGTTAATCCAACAGCTAATATTAATACACTAAATTTAATATGGAAAATATGTCCCTAAGAATGTGTTTGAGATGATTTTTTAAAACTGTTTATAGAACTTATATCTTCTCATAAGTAATTTAAAAAAAAATTTAAGAATCGCCCCATCGCCCTATCACCACCACCACAACAACCACCATCATCACCACTACCACCACCACCATCGCCGCCACCCTACCACCACCTATGTTACAACAATCACCACCGCCCCCTACCACCACACTCACTGCCCCACCACCACCATCACCACTACCACTACCACTACCCCCATCGCCCCACCATCACCACTACCACCGATGTCGCCACCCTACCACCCCCACAACCATACCACTACCACCACCGCCGCCACCGCCGCCACCGCCCCACCATTACCTCTGCCAAAACAACCACCACCGCCCTACCACCACCCCGTCGCTGCCACTATCACTGTTGCCACCCCACCACTACCCCCACCCCCACCCCCACCCCCACCATCCCCAATACTACTACCACTATACGCACCACGGCCACTGTCCTACCATCACCCTTTCCATCCTCACCACTACCCCCACAACCATCACCATTACCACCACTACCGGCCCTGCCACCACCCCACCACCACCATCGCTACCTATCACCAATTACTAGCATCATCATCCACCGCCACCTCCCATTGCCATCGTCATCTCATTCTTATATTTATTACCACTACCATCATCATCCCACTATTATTATCGTCCACCGCCAACTACTATCACCCACTCTCGCCACACTTATCACCATCACCCGTCATCGCCCACCATTGCCGCCACCCACTGTTACCCACCCCACCATACCTCCCACCACCACTATCACCATTCGCCAACACCCATCACACTGTCACCCAAAAAGCACCCGTCGTTAACCGCCACCACTATCGTCATTGCCCACCACCCGCCGCCAACCACCATTATCGTCGCCCACCACCACTGTCGTCACCCATAACTGTCACTACCACTATTGTCACCTAAAACCCACCATAACCATAACCATAACCATTGCCACCCATAGTTGCCATCAATCACAACTATCACCGTCTCTCACCACCATCACCGTCTCTACCACCGCTCACTCCCACTGCAACCGGTGCTTAAATTATTTTTCTTTTCCTCTATGTTTGTGATTTGATTTTGATTATAAATACAAATATATTTATTGTTGACCAATTTTTTTATTACTCTGTACCTTTAGACACGGTTAATAACTAGTTCACTTCTAAAAACTTATAAAGATAAAATATAAAAAATTAAGTTTCATCAGCATCTATATGACAAATTATTTAATTTTTAAATATATGTTGATTATAAAGTTCTTAAAAAGAAAATTATAGTTTACAAATATTATTCTACTTTGATATTTATATTTAAGTATGGATTGGTAATTCTAAAAAATCTATATAATAAAATACAATACAATTCAAATCTCAAAAGATAAACAAAATAACTTTTGTTTTTCGCGATTGAGATCTCTTTAAATTTTACTTTAAAATTAATCTGAGAGCTAATATTAACAACCTAAATTTAAAAGAAAAAATAAGTCCCTAAGGATGTGTTTGGGGTGACTTTTTAAAAACACTTCACAAACTTATAACTTTTTATAACTACTTTAAACAAAAAAAATATTGTTTGGAACCGTCCCACCCCCACCACTACTACCACCATCACCACCCCTACCGCCACCACCACTGCTGCCGCCACCCTACTACCACCACCACCACCACTATCACCGTTACTGCCCCACCACCACCATCCCTACTACTGTCGCCTCACCACCACTACCATTATTCCTACTACGACCACCCTCACCACCACCGTTGTCGTCCCACCATCACCCTTACCACCACCACCCCACCGCCCCACCACCATCACCACTACCACTGCCGTCGTCGCTACCCCAACCATTACCCCACTGCCGCCGCTACCCCCACCACTACCCCACTGTCGCCACCACTATCGTCAATGCCACCACCCACAACCATCATCATCTCATTCTTATTTTTATTACCACTACCACCATCATCTCATGACTATCATCGCCAACCACCACCACCACCACCTATCGTCAACAACCACTATCACCCACCCACACCACACCTACCACCACCGCCATTCGTCACCACCCACCATACTGTCGCCCAGAAGCATCCGTCGTCGCCCACCACCGCCGTCACTCATGACTGACACTACTACCGTCACCGTTGCCACCCACGGCTATCACCACTACCACGGTCATTGTCACCCACCACAATCATTACCGTCTCCTACCACTACCACTGCCCACCACCACCTCTCACTCCCACTACAATCAATACTTAAATTTTTTTATCTCTCCTCTATGTTTGTGATTTAGTTTTGAATATAAATAAAAATATATTTATTGTTGACTATTTTTTTATTATATTGTTCCTTCAGACACAGACAATAACTAGTTTGAATAATAATAATAAACATAGAAATAAGTAAGAACACGAATTAGTGGATTTTGCGAGTCGAAAAATTAAATTTGCGAATATTATAAAATGAAAGCGCGAATTTACTGAGAATTTGCACACAAAGCGCAGTGCGTTAGGTGTGTAGAAAGATTATGTAACTAAGGATATTATCAAATTTGGTTTGACAAAGTTGGGGCCATAATATTTGAACCCACAAATGTGAGAGCAGCCTCTTTATAAGAGAAAATGTGTGCATCCTCAGTTCCTCACCCCTCAATGAGATTCTCCTTCTTAGAAGAATGAATTTTTTTGTTGCTAAAAATAGACTATACCACGGGATTGATACTCATATCCCTAAGATTAAACTTCGGAACATACGGAATTGAGAAGAGATTATGAAAGTCAATGATATTCTGGTAACCAAAGTCAATCATACAACTACGCATAGTTTTTTTTCACTTTCTATTCTTACAAAGAAGATAAGCTGGCATCTTAGAGCACTCAATTGATTCTCCTAGGCATGTGTATTTCTATCATCCGGTCATCGTACATGCACTAGGCAATTACCGTCATAAAATCCAGGACCTCACACTGGGGGAAAGATCCGAATAAACCTCCACCTCTTAAAGATTGAAATCAACTAAAACTACACACGATTGTCAAGATTGCAAATAGCAAATTACACATAGCCTCGTAACCATTAAAGTTCTTCCCAGTTAAGTACATAACTTTTGGCGTAGATTAAGATATAAACTCGCGATATGTATTATAATTTCTTCAAAACTACTCCAAGATAAACAAAACACAAAAACAAACCCATTTATAAAAAAGTTGTTGATTAGTTTATACTTACAGCAACACAAGGAGCGAAAGCATATTGAATACCGCTGGCCCTCACTTCAAGAGCTGTTGCAGCCCCAATCCTCCTAACCAATTCATCATCTCTATAAACAAAAAAAAACCCCTGTAATTAGCATTTAGGATCATCAATTAGGCCTCTAACAGTTAGTCTGCGAGTGTAGAACTCACCTCGTGGCTCCAAGACCAACATTGTGAGGAAATATAGTGGCACCAAAGACATTGCTGTTACCGTGCACAGCATCAACCCCATAAATAATCGGAATCCCAAGTCGCGATTCGAGGGCACCCTTCTGAAATCCATCCACCATATCCGCCCAGTCTGCGGACGTGGCTTTCTCGAATGGTATACTACCACCACCACTCAGTACACTTCCTGAAAAACCAAGACCCCCATTTAATCAACATATATATATATATATACATATATATATATATATATAGAGAGAGAGAGAGAGCTGAGGAACCTATGCAGAAGTCTTTGATGGCAGAGGGACTGGCGACGGTTCTATCTATCTGGGTCATTTGACCGATCTTCTCTTTCAAAGTCATTCGAGAAAGGAGATCTTTGATTCTTCCTTCGATGGGTTCGTTGGGGTTCTTGTATATACAATCCATGGCTTCTGCTGTGCTCTTTCTCAGCTCAGAGCTAGTGATTGAATGTTTTGCTCGGGAAAGACAACGAGCAACTCCTCATTGATAGTTTTTCCTTGGGGACAGAAAAAGTGGCATAATGTTGGAACCTATTAATTGGACCCACGTGGACCTTAATTAGACTTGAATTTTGAGATAAAAATATCTTAATTAAAAATTTTAATACATTTTAGTTAAGTTATTGGATAATTTTCTTGTTAAAGTGATGCCCTAATTAAAAGAAAACATGTTTAATAAATAGTCAATTTTTTAGAAATTATTTTGATGAGAGGGAACAATTATCGATTATTCTAACGTAAGACAATTAGTTACCTGAATGGAATATAAATTATCTGATAGACCCTCGCCTCTTATTCATGCTTATAATATTTATTGTAAATCAATGTTAATTTTCTGTTCGAACTATTTAAGACCATTAGGTCTCTCACATAAACGATAGCAGCTGGTCGTCGAGGTAAATTCTACCTAATTTGTTTTTAATCGAACAAAGGAAAAAGTTAATCAAATTAAACGTAAATTATTCGAAAACTCACTAACAGCTAAACTAAAGGGTAAAAACGATTGCAGTTGCTGTTATGAACAGTAGGACATAACGTCATTGGTCGAGAGTGGGACCCACCGTATGTCGTATTCTTTTATGGTAGGTTAATGCTTTTTTTTTTCTTGTTAGGATAGAATAATGCTTTTGAGCACTTAAAAAATAATTTAATTTTTTATATAATTTATAAATCTCATCTAATTAATTATAAATTTTAATAAATACTAAGATTTATTATCAATTTAATAGTTATAAATAATTAAGTCAAAAAATTATGTTATAATTTAATTTATTGAGATCCACTTTCAATTTAATAATTATAAATAATTAAATTGATAAATTAAATTAATGGTAACCTAATATTTCCTTTGTCCTATCTTGTGTTGGTTCTTAAATCATGAGATTAGGTCATGGACCGTAGTAAAGAAGTATAAACTATATTCCATTTGCAGCAATTATTCAATTTTTAAACTCCACTGCGTAAACTAGAACCACTTTGTACACCACCACTAATAAAGATTAGAGTTGACAATATTTAGTGGATCTAGATACACAATAATATCTTGATCAAAAATTTTAATATTCTGAATAATGTAAAAGACTTTTTAACATTCAATCAAAAATCTCATTATTAGTTAGGTGGGCCAATTGATCGACCAAGTTAGAGGCTAGCCGTTCATTTCATGGAACATTTCTCTAACCGAGAATCCCACTAATAATTTGGATGATAAAATGTGATGATTAATATCTTGGAATTTGAAGCTCGGTTTTTAAGAAGACTTTCAAATTGACACTATAAAAAAATATTAGAGCATCTCCGATAGGTATACCAAATGTCTTCATATTAATACATGTATTTATAATATATTTTTAAAACTAATTATTACTTGTGCCTGAAGGCACAGAATAATAAAAAATATTAAATAATAAATATATTTGTATTTATATCTCAAATCAAATCATAAACATAAAGAAGATATAAAGAAATTTAAATATCGATTTGTACGTGGGTGAAAGATGGTGGGCGACAGTGGTGATGGTTGTAGTGGGGTGACAATAACCGTGGTGGTGGGTAGAGGTGGCGGGCGTGGCAATGGCGGTGATGATGGTGGTGGTGATGGGGGCAGCGGTGGTGGTGACGGCGACGACAGTGGAGGTGGTAGTGGTGGTGGCGATGCGAGTCGCAGTGGTGGTGATGGTGATAAGGGTGGTGGCAGCTAATGCGGCGGCGATAGAAGTAATGGTGGAGCATTTTCAAATGCTATTTTTTAAAAAATATTTATGATAAATAATTTCTAAAATATTTTTAAAAAGTCACTCTAAATACACCCTTATGACCTATTTTTTCTATTAAATTTAAGGTATTAATATTAACCATTAGATTAACTTTAAAGTAAAATTTAAAGTGATCTCAACCGCGAATAATAAAAATTATTTTGTTTATTTTTTTAGAATTGAATTGTAAGTTATTTTATTTTATTTTAAAATATTATAAATTTTATATAAAAAGTAGTATATATTTTATTAAAACTAAAACTTGTCATTAAACTTAGCTAATACAAATTTAAATTACCAAAACATAAATTTTAACCAAATTATATGTTACTACATAAAATAAATTGCATTAAATACCCAACAATTTCATAAAATATTGCATTAAAAAGATTTGACATACCTATTGCAATATGCCAAATTTGATTTTGCCTGGTAACATGATGTCTAGCAAATTCTATAGATCCATCGGGGAGTAATGCATGAACAAAAGTCAGGTCTTCCTCTTCCAATTTCTAGGCAGCTTCCTCTGACTGGCCATATTCGGGCGCCCAACCACCTTGAAGTGTTTAATTCACTGTCACTAATATGGCCACTCCAGTCGGCCACATCAGCTTGAAAACGGGGCCCAATAAAGATATAGATTAAATAAAATAAATTATTTTAACATATCGGTTAGAGTGCAAGTTGAAGATATCAAATGCTATTTGTCGAATTATCACATTAACCTTTAAATTTAAATTTGGCATATAAAATTTGTTCGAGACGCTGTTTGCTTCTTTTCACTGTTAGCAATAATTCAATTTTCAAATGTACCAAAGAATCTACTTTTTATGATAATCTCATTTCCATAAATCTTATCAGGATGATTTGGACAACAATAATTTAATGATTAGTATCTTAAGTTTAAAACTCGTAGGCGCATTTAAATTGGTTAGTCACCCTTAAAAATCAGTTATTCTTATTCTTCAAGGAATATGTATTTAAACTAGATTGAGTCACGGTAATCGACTCAAAGTTTAAAAGAATAATCGACATAAATTTAGACATCTTGTAAAAAAAAATAAAGATAAACAATCTTACCCTATAGAATGAGACTTATGGTGACCACACAATTCCCATCCTATAGCAACAGGATTCATATTGCTTGTATATCAAGAGATACCCCTTAAACTAAGCATGTGACGGTCCAAACAAAGCGTTTTGATCATTTCCCCACGTCGGAATGAAAAATAATCAGTAGAGACAAGATGTCTACTACACTGTATATACAGCTCATTGTCTTCATCGAACTAAAGAAAAAGAGTCCAATAAGATTGGTAAGATGATTTAGATAGATTGCTGAAGTGAGGTTAATTTTGAAATTCAGAGCGAGAATGAGGGTAAAATGTGACTAATAATTAATACAAATTAACTCGCTTACTCTCTTTTATACTGGAGGGGACAAATGAATGAATTGAGTTAATTATGAGTCAGGTGCAAAACAAATTTAGAAAAACCTTAGGAAGGTGGTCCAAGATCCTTATGATAAGAGCCTATCAGTCATATCAGCATTATTGCATATTAGTCAAGAAAAATTCTTCCTTATGTTTGTCGCACCCTTACCTCGGATCAAATAAGGTGGGCGGCGGATCAGTCATCAATGTCTTAACCAACCAATTTTGTACATAATAATACAAAACACAGTGGAAGACAATAATAAAGTAATACAATTCATCGATCTAATAAATATCAGAGAAATAAACTAAACATCACCAACATCATTACTAAACTCGTGTAAAATAATAATCAAACTGTAAGGTTTACTACTCCAAACATAAGTAACATTATTTTTAAAATAATTAAATATTTGTTTCAAAACTACAACAGACATTTATTTTTGAAGATCTACAGTAAAATAAATCTTTAAATCCTCTAATTCCTTGTTTATCCAAGGACTTACTCTTTCCCTGATTTTTACCTGAAAAATGTTAAACATTTGGTTGAGTACAGTGACCCATAAATAGCAACCACCTCTAATAAGGTGTTAAAACAAATCCCACAGTTTATATACAAAAACAAACTTTGATACATATAAGTACAACAAATTATATCTCAACCTCTCTCACATAATCCTTAAAAAAAATAGTCTCATGCTCATAAATAACTTTGTAAATAAAAAGACATTTATAACTCAAAACACCACTCATTTTCACAAATAACTTCACAAATAAAAAGACATTTATAACCCAAAATACTCACACCTACATTCAGTTTCAAATACATTTGTCAAATCATGTTTGTTATCACTAGCCTGGTAATTAGCTCCATTTCTTGTCATCACTAGCTTGATGATTGACCCCGTCTCTTGTTACCACTAGCCTGGTAATTGGCTCGCTTCTTGTCATCACTAGTTTAATGACTAACCCTTATGTGCACATCCCTATACCGACCACGCCGGTATGCAATTTTGTTATTATTTAGACCTGATAATTCAATCACTATCTCATAAACATGATTTTTACACACACCAAAACTGTAGTTTTTGTCCTAACACACAAAATTTTCCTTTCATTACCAAAATAATGATATAAAATCATCCCATAAATTTTTCAAAATTCACATGTATAACCATTCACAATTGCAAAATATTTAATTACAACCCCAAAATATCAACACATATATTATATATGTGAAAAATCCACACGCATGCACCCACATATTTAGTATAGAAAATCCTCCTAAAAGAAGTAATAAATTACTCACTTTGATTCCCAAAATTCAATTCAAAATCCTCTTTCTCAACCTCAATGCAATCATCACCTAATCCAAAATAACATATAACGATCAATCGTTATTCTAAGTTCGTCATTTTATGATTTTATATTTAATTTTTATACTTCCTACCCATTGATATACATTTTATATCCTTTACATAGAAATCATATTTTTAATGTGAGCTAATAGGGTATGGAAGTAATCTGAGTAGTTTATAAAAAGTTTCTAAAGTTTTTGAGCCAAATCATAATTTTTGAAATTTTTGGGTTCAAAGTGTAATTTCCTTAAAAAACGAATTTTCTTTTTTGTGGGGCTGCCATAAATTTTTTAAAATTTTATTCTTCTAACTTACCAAGCAAAACAATAATTAAAATTAAATTTAGAAGAATATAGAGGTCAAAGTAAAATTCTTTGAAACTAAGAGAAGCTTTCTCTAATTTACGAATTTGGAACCAATAACTTCCTTCCCCTCCCCCCCTCCCTTTTTTTTTTTTTCCTTTTTACACATTGACTGAATTCCTTAAAACTTCAAGATTAACCAATCTAAATTAGATCTAAAAATACTTAAATTAGCATCTTTCACTAAAATCCATTTATATATTCATCAATATTATTCACCATGGACATATATATATATATATGCTATTACTACTACTTATAATAAACTTAACATTATGTGATTAAATAAAATACAAAACTCATAAATTAAGTAATAAATTTATATTTTTAATGGATTCAAGTCCTTTCTTTCTTTCCTCCTCCTTCTCTCTTCTTCTTCTTCTTCTTCTTCTTCTGTTCACAGGACAACCCCTCCATAAGCCTTCTCACCAATAAATAAATAACAAAAAACCCTACAAACCTAAATATATTTATATATACACGAAGGGTTTGATCTATCCGACAATATTACCCTATTTAAACCACATGTATAATAATTTTAATTAATCTCTATAATTATTTGATATTTTTCCCTACGCCAAAAAGCTAAATTATCTCTATTGATTTCCAAAGTATATCCACAAGCCCATAAGAACAGACCCTAAACCAAACAAAAGTCTAATACTTTTCAAATCCAACTTTTTTATTTTTATTTTTATTATTATTGTTATTTCATTTGTTTTTATCTTGGCTATTACAATGATTTCACCGCAGAAACTACAAGCACTCGAAGAATGCAAAAAACAAGAAAAATCTTTTTTTTTTTTGTCTTATTTGTAAAGCCTAAAGGCCCATTATTACTATAATAAAGGGTAAGGCCGGCTTTTGAGCTATATCTCAAATTGACGGATAAAAATCTTGACTTTCGTGCTTTGGTAGCTTCATTTATCATCCACAATAGTATTGATTTATCCTAACTAAAAAAAATTACTGCTAAGGCAACAAACCAAAACAAATAATGCACCATTTTGAAAAGTGAAAAGAAACTCAGAATATTTAGGGTGTGTGATGATGAAAATTATCTCACAAAGCCGTTCACTCCTATTCAAACCAAATAGTGCAGCAGGAAGGATGACAATGTCTTTTCCTATTGAGTGATGAATATAACATCTTTATTTGCTTCCAAGTTATCTTTAGCACCAGGTGCTGGCATTGGTGGGTGCACGTCCTCATGTCCCATTGCTTCTTCCGACTCTTCACTTTTAACAATGGTGCCTGAATTCTCATTATAATCCCTCCTTTGTTTTGCAGGTCCAAAACCATAGACATCGTCGGCCAATTTGAGTTCACCTGTAGTTTCTTCTGCAGATTGTGAACTCATTACGTTAGATAATTCCATGTGTCCCACACCAGCCCTTTGTTCAGCTTCAATATCTTCAACAGATTTCAGTTTTCCTTCCTCTTGGCTGACCACTAAGTTGTTAAGTTTATAGCTGGTGGTGGCTTTTTCAGTAGATTTTCCTTCATAATCTGATTGTGCCTGATCATTGTCAGGGTGTGCAATTGTCAGTCTAGCCATTTCTTTCTTTTCATGCTTTTGCTATCAGAAACATATGTGAAAATATGAGGTCAGAAATGTTGGAAATAAGAAATATTGCTAAAAAGAAAGAACGAAATAATTTGACATAATACATACATTTTTGGATTTAGCAGTATGAATAAGCAGTTATTGAATCAAGATAAGGACAAAAACAATACCAACTATTTCAGAAAAATTACCCTTCTACATAACTTCACTTCTTCTTTAGGTCACAGGATATTCGAATTTGATGTTCTGGCCTTTAGGTTTAGGTTTGATGGGCAGAGAGAGTTGGATATAGGTAGTCCCTCGAACATATCTTTAGTATCTTCAATATATATGATGTTAGTCTCCAAAGTTGGTTCCCAAAATCCTTTCGTAGCCGCATTAACTCTGACGTACCCTCAATATCTTTTTTGGATTCTAATTTCTCAATGCCATTATTTTCAATAACAGGTTCATTAGAACATCACTGGTGTTGATTTCTTCAGTTGACTTTTTAGAAGGATCAAATTATTCTTATCCTCCATGAGTTGCAAAAGAAGTCCAGTTATTTCTTCCCAACATCTATCTATTAATTGGGACATATTCCAATATATATTTATGACAATAATTACTGTTTAGCTTCTTAAGCCTCCGTTATTCAATACTTCTCTCAGTTTCATATACATATTCCAGGAAAAAAGATAAAGCATTAGTTAACTTCCACAACGATAATGACTAACCGCTAACGTATCACAATCTCTACTGCAAGAAGGGTGAGCAGCTGAATCCTCCATCATACACACCGCATTTTGAGGAACAGCCAGAATTATATTTGCAGGCGGCAGTTCATCCATCAAATTATGTTCTAATGTATCTGAATAAGATTGTTGGACCTCCGGGGATATCTCCTGATCAAAACTTAATGAGGAGGCTTGATCTATTGAGAATTTCGGCTGTAATACAGACGTCGGAGATGAGGATAAACTTGAGGCAATAGGAACTTGATCAACCACTGATTCTGCTGTAACAGTCAATGCATTAGGATCAACAAAATTCTGGCCAACACTAAGCGATCCAACTTCACCATTTCCTTGTTCAACTTCTGTATCTTGAATTGAACTCCATATATCATTGTTCTCAATTGGCATTGCATTCACTGCCATATCCAGGCATTCAGGAAGAGTTTCAGGCTCTCTTTCAACATCTCCAAAAGAATTCAAATTGTCGAAATCCTCAATTTGTTTGCATGACTCCAAGATGGTCTTCTGATGCTCATCTCGTTTTTCATATTCCTTCCCAGTACACTGGCCTAATTTCAAAGTGATTATGTCTGAAGATTTGGACTGGTCACTGGAATTTTCTTGCTTGACCAATATGTGGGTTTCATTCTCTATGTGGTTGATGGTACTCAAAATTTTCAGGACATTGCTCGTCGGGACTTCCAAAGCTTTCACCTTGGAATTATTGGTGTCTAACTCCCTGTTAGACTTTTCCGGCCTATATGGTTCCTGTTCAATATCACAGTAAGGTGATGCACCAGCAAACCAATATTATGCTACTGCAGGTATTTCATTTTGCTACTAAGCAAGGAAAAAATAATAATCAGAAAACTAGTTGCCATCTAAGAACTGAAGGAAACTCTCCTTGTGCCAAAGTAGTACTCCTTTTTCTATTTTTTTTCCATAACAATGTTTCTGGTGCATAAGCTATCACTTTCAGATAGAAGGACGAAATTAAGTTAAGAAGAGCAATAATTGACATTGTACATTGGTTCGACTTTGCTATATGGTTACAGTTGAGCTTCTGACCTTAAGCAATTGATTTGCTTCTATAGTTTCTACGTTGATTAACCAGCAATTTTGAGGTCTAGATAATCAAATGAATAATCAACCCTCGATCAAGTGGTTTTTGTTTCGAGGACCACACATAACTAAACTTTTAAGCGCAAACAATGTACTTGCTACTAAATGATGCTTAATTGTTTGGCCTGCTCAGATATCAATTGTCGGGTAATTCAACTCTATTTCACAGCTATCTCTTAAAATAATTTCAGATAAAAAGACATACTTCTGGGTCTTTAAAATCGTCATTATGGGATGGGTGAGCAACTGGTTTCTCTGTTGACTGTTGCCCTTCAAGCACTGGCAAACCCAAAATTTCAGGTGACAATGCACTTCCAGTTGTTTGGATCATATCTTGATGTTTTGAATTGTCATCTGTTGAATTGGCTTGACCTTGTTCAGGTATAAGTAATGAGGAAAGTGGGTTGGTGGAATATTGATCCACAACTTCTGGCAGCATATCCGATGTAACTGAATCATTGGATTCATGGTTTATTCTCGAACTTTCAACTTCTCTAATGTCTAGTACACTGATTTCATATATTCCTCCCAATCTTGACTCATTTTCATCAACTATTGGCAGGTTAGCTGAGTCCAACCACGTATCTTCACTGTCACAAGAGATCTCCTTTTGTGCATCCCCGTCATTTATTGAAGATTGTTCATCGGAGAATGACATATTTTCATCAACTGTCAGCGGAGGTGAACTAACCTCTGAGACCTCCACCTGCAAATCAGAAGCTATAGAATGAGTAGGTGTATGATGCATTTCCTTAACAGCGTAAAGGCGTTCCTCCACTTTTGTCTTCTCGAACCCAGGCAGACCAGAATCAAAGGAAAGATCATTTATTCGACTATTATCCTCTATATCTACACCTCTGTTCCTTGAAACTGAACGAGAGAGGCATTTTAAAATTGCTTCTTTGTTGATTCTGGATATTGGTTCATCTGCTTCTGATGAAGATGATGATCTCGATCCAACCTTAATGACTTCATCCAGCATCTGCTTTGTCTGAAATTCACTGCTACATTCTTCATAATGATCATCCACCAAATCAAATACCTGTTCAGCCCCTTGACCTTCTTGTTTGACACGATCACAGGCACTCTCAACATTCAATATGGGCTCACCTTCTTGAGATGTTTCTAGCTCTTGCTTTTCGCTATCTTCCTTACCTGTGAGGAATGGATTCATCTTGATTAGGTTTCTACAAAGAAATAATCATAATATTTCATTCTCAGAGGAACAAAATATAGACCTCATTTTACCTGGTTGACTTCTTAATTGGGAGTCGGGTCTCTCAAAAGCACTCTGCTTGGTTGCAAATTCACGAAACAACACATTTCGATCTTGCTTATATTCCCACAGGGAAAAAGCTCCAAGACTGAAGCTTTCATGCCTGCAGAACATCATGTCCTTCTGGTGAGCTACCATGAACTCGTGATGGAAACTATCTCCCGTTAGGTTGGGCTTTTCCTCACACGGGTCATAAGGGAGGTCAAAAGGATTGCACGCTGGAATTAAAACAGAAGGAGCTGAGCCAGGTGTAGGTGAAAATTGACTGCTAGAATTGTTGCCAAGAGTGGGGTTGTTTCTTGGTATCAAAACAGAATCAATATGGCCAGGAGGGCCGTTGTTGCCCATGTTCACCGGTGTCTTTCTGACCTGAAGACTCAACAATTTCCTTGCTCTTCGTCTTGCAATTAGACTCTCCAGCCTTCTGTTCCTCTCTCTTTCGGAAGAACCAAGATCCATGAGATTTTTCTGATCAACTTCTGTCCATTCTACAGCCTTATTTCCATCCTCCTGTACATCCTCTTCATCTTCACTGTCTTCAGAACTTGCACCACCTGCACCTCTAGTAAATTTTTGGGACCTTTCATCAAAACCATCATGAAATAGGGGCTTTGAAATCTGAACATCATTGGAGGAGGAACACTCAGAACAGTCAATTATTGAATGCACTTCCACCTCTCGAATATCTCTAGGGTTTTCTTCTATTAGGGCACTTTTATCAACCAAATTATCGTTAACACTTGTTGAAGAAACTGTGCCTTTTTCCTCCACACAGCTTGGTCTATAATCTTCTCTGTCTCTCTCTTTGGCATTTCTTCGCTTACTTGCTGTTTGAACTTGTTTGGAAGAGTGCTCAATTTTACCAACAATGATATCATCTTCAGAAAAACTAATTTTCCTGGAAGATATCCCTCCATTCCTCTTCTCATCTCCTCTGACATTTTTGTTGTCTGGGTGATCAAGACTTAGAAAAATTCCAAGAATAATAGCAGTGAACACAAGAACAGGTGATGAGTAAATCAAAAATCTGAAGAAAGAAGGAAAATATATATATAAAAGACATAAGAGTAACAAAATAAAGGAAACAGTTGGGTATTTCTTTGCAAAATTATAACAAGATCTCATTGAAAATTCAATAATTTTCCACATACAAACTTGAATATCCTTGGCGCTAACACCCATTTATACTCCTTTGAATTTTTATTTTTTTTTCAAGTTGATTTACCTACTATAACATGTAATCTTTTTCACCTAAAATATCATAGAATCAAGATATTGTCAATTTGTATTGAACAATCTGCACCTGAAATCTGCCCAGAATTATAACTACAAAACTTCCTAAATTGAACCCCCCAAAAAAATTATCTCCTCTCACTTTTAATTCACAGAGCACTCCGAAACAAACTTAATGCAATGAAATATGACAAACCCATTTTTCAAATCAGCCAAAAAATAGAGTTTTTCTCAATTTCTGAAAAATTCATACTGATTGTGAGAAAGAAGTAGAATGGAGAAAGAATGATTTTTGTTTTACCTTCAAATTAAGTCCAGTGGATTCTGTGTCTCAAACGTTTGTGCTTTTTTTGGTTGGCTAAATTTAGAAAATTTTGTTTGGCTCATAGCTCTGTTAGTTCCACTAAATCTGGACTTATATTTTACCTTCCTATTTTCATGGGATCAATATGCAACATGGCATTAAAAAGAGGGTAAAAGGATAAAATTGAGCTAGCCACGCTAGGGAACGCTGTAGCACTGCAGCGGTTAAGGTTGATAATGGAGCCAGTGAGTTTGATTTGGGAATTGGAGAGCTTATTTTTTAAATAATATTAAAAAATTGTTTAAACTCAACTCATTTAAAATTCAAGTCGAACCCGAATAACTCAATTATTTTACATATAAACAAGCCGAACCTAATAAGCCTAAAAAATTATTTAAGTTCAACTCATTTACAATACAAGTCAAGCTCAAGTCAAATTTTATCTGAGGTGAACCCGAGTAGCGAATTAACATCCTTAGCGACGGTAAAGTACCAAAAATTATAATTTTTTAAGATGTAAGTTATAACTTGTAAAAAATATAGTCAATCATGGAAAGTTATGACATATATCAAAAGTTACCATTTGTAAAAATCAAGTTACAACTGTTTAAGGAGAATCCATGATTGATCATAGGTATATGTAATCGATCATGATTTTTCTTTGAACAATTATAACTTCTTATTTCAAATGTGTAATTCAATAATAAAAGTTTGGAAAAATTTCAGCTACACCCCTTTTAATTTATCATATCTTCAAGAATATTATTTCTATTATCTAAAACATCATTGACATTCCTTCTAGTTTATATTTAAATATCACTGATACGTTTATAACAAAAATAAATTATCTAAAATACTAAAATTGTCCTTATATAAACCTTAAACAATATTTCTGCATAAAATTCGATTAAAATTTATTTTCTGCATATTAAAATTTGAGTCGAGCTGATTAAATTTTATTTTTTACATATTAAAATTCGAGTCAATTTGAGCTCTACTTGAGTTGTTAACCCCCGATTAAAATTTGTTTCGAGTTAATTCAAATTTGATTCAATTTGATTAAAATTTATTTTTTACGTATTAAAATTTGAGTCAATTAAAATTTATATTTTTTTATGTATCAAAATTTGGGCGGAGTAAAAGTTAATGTGAATTGATTAAAATTTGATTTGAATCTCGAATAGAATTTTAATTGACTTAAATTTTAATACTTAAAAAATATAATTTTTAATCGACTCAAATTTTAATAAATAAAAAATAAATTTTAATTACCTCGAATCGAATTTTAATCGGACCAAATTTTAATACGTAAAAAAAATTAAAAAATAGAGGGATCTCATTGGAGATATTTCTATCTAGATGGAGTATGGATGAAATTTTTCCTAAAATATATCATGCACAATTTAATAAAATTATATTCTAATTAACACTTTTAATCTGATAAAGAGTGTTAGTGAAGATTCAAAAAATAAAAAGAGTATATTTTAAGATATGAAAAATTAGAAAGAATGTGTTAAAATTTTTCCTAAAAATTATGACTTTTAGTACGAAAAAGAAAAATCGATATCATAAACTTTCAATTTTCTATATAATAAAATAGCTTATAATTCAAATTTCAAAAGATAAACAAAATGACTTTTATTATTCGCGATTAAGATCGCTTAAAATTTTACTTTAAAATTAATCTAACAGCTAATATTAACACCCTAAATTTAATAGAAAAAATAGGCCTCTAAGGGTATGTTTGGAGTTACTTTTTAAAAATACTTTTAAAAATCATTTCTCATAAATACTTTAAAAAAAAATATTATTTAAAATCGCTCCACCACTATCTTTATCACAACCACCACCACCACCAACATTTTCATTACCACCGTCGTCACCCCCGTCACCACCATCACTACCACTATCGCCACCATCGCCACCACCACTACCGCCGTAGTCCCCTCCGCCATCGTCGTCGTCGCCCCCATCACCACCACCCCACCACCACCACTGCCGCCACCATCGCCGTCGTCACCACCACCGTCCACACCACCACCACCACTGTCGCCACCATCACCACCACTATCGTCGTGACCACCACCACCCACCATTGTCGTTGCTGTCACCATCACCGTCGTCACCACTGCCACCCCCAACACCACCACCACCACCGTTGCTACAACCACCACCATTATCGTCGTCGCCCTCATCGCCACTACAATCATTCTCACCCACCATAAACATCACCGTCTCCTACCCCCACTATTGCCGCTCACCACCTCTCACACCTACTATAAATCGATTCTTAATTTTTTTTATCTCTTCTCTATATTTGTAATTTGATTTTGGATATGAATACAAATATGTTTATTGTTTATCATTTTTTATTACTCTGTACCTTTAAGCACATACAATAAAATAATATATATATATGGTCGACTTTCTCTCCTCTTGCACTGCCTATGTGAGGAGCATTAAATCGATGGATTCCAATTGAGTACATGGGGGAAAAAACTTTCATGTGTTCTATTGAATTTACTAAAGGGATTGTGTGTAAGTGGTAAAAATGAAACTATTTGAGGTCAAAAAAATTTGATGAGTTTTATTGAATTTAAGACAAATTATATTCTATCACAAATAATTATATTTATGATTCACAATTTTTTTATTACTTTATACTTTCAGATATGAGTAATAACTAATATTTTTCTAGTATGTACTTAATTTTTATTTAGTCTCTAAATTTTTAATCGTAACAATTAAATCCTTAAAAGAGGAATTTAGTTCTTACGTCCAAAATTATTATTTAACTAAGGATAACTAGTGCCTAAAAGTACGGTGTAACGAAAGTGAGAAGTGATGGATTTGGGGAAAAAAAAATGCAATGTAACGGGCTTTGAGAAAAATGTTGATAACCATTGGATAAATCTATTTAAGACCGTCCTATGAATTTATTGAAGTTTACCTTTTTTATTACATTACTTGAATAAAGAAGTATACTTTTCTTGTAAAAAATCTTTGCCACATAAGCAAAAGAAATTTTATTTTGTTTCATATGCTTCTTAGATAAAGAAGACAACTGACCACAAAAAAAAAAGAAAAAAAGAAAAGAAATAAGAATTTGAGAGATATTGTGCTACAAAAGGGAAATCCTCATATATACGAGATATATATTTTTTATTTGACAAATTTGATTTTATAGATTTAAATCATGTTTAATATATTTTACTTAAATTAATCTATTGACATAATTTATCGACTTAATTATTCATAGCCATTAAATTGACAATAAACCCCAATATTTACTGAAATCCACAATTAATCTAATAATTGTGATAAATTTAGTTTACAAAGGAAAGTTTGCCAAAATGAATTCCAACACCTCGCCTAAAGTTTGCTTACTCAAAACCTATTTGAATAGGAGACTAGCCCGAGACATGTTCACCACGCTGGTTTTTAAGCTCAATTGGGGATACCTAATAAAAGTAGATACATAATAAGTCGTAAACTCAAACGTTTTGAATTTGAATTTTAATAAGTTTATAGAGTCAGATCATAAGAGATTTATATCTCGTAAAAACTTTAGTCTTGAATTGAATAAATTATTTTTGACTAAACCATAAAAAAATTAATCGAGCTACGTGTAAATTAATTTAAATACCCTTAAACATCGACAAAAAAAAAAAAAAAGCTACACTTAATGAAAGTAGCTACGGGCAATAATAATGAACGGCGTTTGTTAACGTTTTTATTTTTCATTTTTCGTTTTTGTTTTGATATTTGGAGAAAAAAAAAAAACTTGTTTAGTAATTGTTTTAGTTTTTTTCTTTTTGTAATCATTTTGAAAACTACCCCCGTTTTTGAAAACGCTAAAAAATCATTATTGAAAACGGAAGAAAACGAAAATGCGTGATCACAATTAATGAAATCTCGCCTTCAACTCTTGCTAGCAACATTATTTGTCCCATTTGTGTCCAAGTATAAAAAAGCAAATTTCAACCTTTTTTCTCATCTCACTTTAAACGACCCACAACTTCTTTCCTCCACCGAAATCCTACAAAGTCCCTCCATATGAATAAGAGAATAAATCAGCCATCAAACCCAAGAAGGACACAAAGAATTAGAAGTTGTTTGCGACAAAAGAGGTTTAATTTGTTTATCACAAACCTTTTATGTTCTTACTTGAAATTTTGATCTAGGGTTTTCTTTGTTCTTGATTTATGTCAAAATCGTTGTTAGATCTTCAATTTTATTTGATTTAGCTCTATGTTGTTTGGATATTGGCATTTTTATTGTGTTTTGAACTCTCTATGGTTTGAATATGTGCATAAAATCGAACCCGCTATTTTTTCCTTCCAATTTGTGTGTAAATCTATGATAAAATTGACTCACCAATGCTAGTTCTAACCTATTATCATATAGATCTAGGATTTACCCAAGTTTTTCCCATAGATTTGGTGCCTTTTGGATTTTATTCTTTCTTGATTTACTGATTCAACAAAAAAATTTGTTGTTGGATTTGATTCTTTGTTGCTAAGCCTTGAGTACTTTCATTTGAGTAGGATTATTCCATGGATCAATAGGTTATGATTTTCCTGTTCATTGCCCTATGATTGCATGATTTTATTGTTAATAAAAGTAATTGATGCACCATGAAAATTTCTTCATCAAACACTCATTATTTTTTCTGTTTATTGTCATGGGATATCTGGGTTTTTTAGGATTCTTTTTTAATCTATGGGTGAATCTGTTTGTGTAGTGATGATACCATTGTGTGCTTGTAGATGTAGTATATCAATGTAGCGATGATGTGGTGGAGGTTCAATCTACCAAATCTGATGGTCTGTGCCTGTGTTGTAGTAAGACCATGAATATTGCTTACAATGGTCCTCATATCAAGAGGATTGCTTCATATATAGGTGGATCAATACCACCGGCAAGAGAAGAGCCACTGTTTGATGGTTGCGTGTTGTGGTTACAATGTGGTCTCTATGTTATGCATTATTTTTGTTACTCTTTTGTAATATTTCTTGGGAATTTGCTCAAGTAATGGGTATTAGTATTTGACAGACTATAAAATACAAGACTAATATGTTTAGTCAAGTCAAAATTCATATCCTCAACTACTCTCTAGGTCTAGAGTTCATGTTTTCGACGTATTTGAGTATGGTAATTTTATGAATTATACTATGACTTGGGTATGTTATTCTCATTTTTTTTTTTTATAGTTAAAGTAGCCTGGAAAAGTGTATGGTATAAACAAATTGTTTATAAAATAATTTAGAAATGTTTATCAAACGATTTTTTTATTTTTTTTTATTTTTTTTCACAACAAAAAATATAATCAAACAAATTTTTTGTTTTTTTTTTATCGATAAAAAACTAAAACTATTTCCGTTTATAATTTTTTTGAAAATAGAAAACCGTAAACGTTTCCAAACATTTTGTTGTTTTCCGGTCAATGCTTCGATGCTAGAATCTGTTCCTCAGATTTCGAAGAAATAGGATAACGAAAAACAAATTTAAAACACCCCATACGCTAATCTAACGGTCAAAAACCCAATCCAGAAAATCCAACGCCCCGTATTCCTCCTTCAACCGTCTTCTCATCTTAGTGACCTCCACGATTTTACGTTCGCTCACAGTATATATTTAAATCCAACATTTTCAATTCTCTTCAATTTTTATAGGGTTTCACTAATGGCCTCAATTGAACCTCTCGGATCGATAATCCACAGTCAAATCTTTGTAAATTCGAACAATAGTTCTAAAGATTTGTATAGACACAGTTACTTCTGCAATCGATTCAGGGTTTTACATGAAAATCCGAGTCTTTTCATTACCAATTCCTCATCGTTTAGACTTTTCAATCTGTACAGACAAGATGGGTTTTCGAACAATCTAGTAGGCTTTGGGCTATGGGGAGGGTTTTTGAAGAACCAAAATTGGTGTATTCGAGCTAATAGTTCATGTGAACACGACACTGATTCGAGCGAAACGAGCGAAGCCAAAGGGAGTGAGTCGAAAGGGGTCAGCAAGAAGACACCGAATACGACCTCGAAGTCGACCCCTTCACGGAGAGAGAAGCAAGGGAAAGGTAATTGGTGGTGGTCAAAGGGCAAAAAATGGCAGTGGCAACCGATAGTTCAGGCTCAAGAAATCGGTGTATTGTTACTACAATTAGGGATTGTTATGTTCGTTATGAGATTGCTTCGGCCCGGAATTCCATTGCCGGGGTCGGAACCGAGGACTCCGACAACGTTTGTAAGTGTTCCATACAGTGAGTTTTTGAGCAAGATTAACAGTAATCACGTCCAGAAGGTTGAGGTTGATGGGGTTCATATTATGTTCAAATTGAAGAATGAACTGGGTGTCTCGGAAGTTGAAGTGGGGAGTGTTAATAATAAATTGCAGGATTCAGAATCGTTATTAAGAAGTGTGACACCAACGAAGAGAATTGTGTACACGACTACACGGCCAAGTGATATTAAGGCTCCGTATGAGAAGATGCTTGAGAATGATGTTGAGTTTGGGTCTCCTGATAAGCGGTCCGGGGGATTCTTAAACTCTGCTTTAGTAAGTTGCTGACCATGTCAAGGGCAATCCATGTTAATTGATTTTATTGTGACTTTAAGGTTGTAGATGCTCAAAAAAGTTACTAGCTTTTGGTTATTATGAAAACGGGGCTCGGATTTGGCTTGTTCAAGTTCGGTTCATTTTCTAAACAAGTTCGAACTTAAACAATTTTTTAGGTTTGTTTAGGATTTGGGCTTTTAGGCACGGCTCGTTTTTAAAACAAACTGAATTTAAACAATTTTTTAAGCTGTCTCGGCTTGAACTCGTTTGACTAACAGCCCTGTTTAGGAGGATGGAAAACCATTTATCTTTTTCTGTGCTTTATTTTGAATATTGTTATTTGTTTTAAGTTGTTTCTGCCATCTATGTTGCAAAAATATCCGTTTGTGATGCTGTCTACAATACATTTAATATTCTGTGCCTTCAATACCGGTATGCTTATGTAGAAATTTACACGAAATATTGTGTGAAGACAATATATTCTAAAAGAAAGTCTTACCATATTTCCAAGGTTTTGTGATCACACTAGGAATTGTCAGAACATATCCAAAATTGGGAGTTTTATTGCTAAAGTATGACAATTCCAACGTGAAAATTGATTTTTTGTGATGGGGGCAACTCCTTACAAATTTCCAGGCTTCTTAAGGTCACTTATCTTGGCCATTGGTCTAACTTTAGTAATGATAACCTATTTTGTACCATTTGTAATGTTGATGATAGTGTTAACAACTTATTGTTGTTTGTTGTTAAGTTAAACTTTGTGTACTAACATCTGTTGCATGAAGCTTGTTATTTGGTGACATCTAGTGTTATTATTTTGATAAGTAATTCATTTATTGGCACCTGCAATTTTCAACGCAAGTCACATTCCTTGTAGGCTTGCAATACATCTGGTGAGGTAGCAAAACTTTCAGCTCATCTATTAAATCTAATGTCAATGTTGGTAGTTTTTTACTTCTCTGTCACCTATTTCGTTCTTATGTTGACAGCTGTTTTTGGGTATTGCTTGTAGCCTGTTGCTTTCCTCCAAATGATAGTAGAATTAAATGGAAGGACATATAGTTTGTCATTTCATTTTAGCTTTTGGTGATGGGTGCTGTCTTGTTGCTTCTGTTCTCCCCCTGTTCATTATGAAGTTCTTGCACTTCCTTTTCCCCTCCTTACTGGGAGTATGTACATTTTTCAGCTGAACTGAACTCAACTTTATAAAGCCTTTATTTTTGCAATTTTGTGTTCAGTTTTAGTGCTTACTTTTTACACAGCTGGTCTGAAGCACGGATAAAAGAAGATGGTTGTGTTAGGTAATTGACAGTCGGCATAGAACATTTTCAAATTCTGTACTTTTTTTAGTAGAAAAATGTTTTGAGTGCACAAAAGCTCAGGTCCATCCTGATGCATAAAAGCTCAGGTTTTCCCTGCTACTCTTTGGAGGCTATCTTAATACTTTCCTCTAGTGTCTTTTGTGGTTTGTCCTCTCATTCTTTTGTCAGTAAATTTCAATTTTATGTTTACTATGTACCACATGTACAAGTACATTGATGCTGTGTTCGAGTTTGAGGTCTAAAGCACTGAATGTTTGAATTTGTTCTATTCTTTCCAGATAGCTTTGTTCTATGTTGCCGTACTTGCAGGGCTTCTTCATCGTTTCCCTGTAAGCTTTTCCCAGGTATGAAACAGATTCTACTTTTCCTTGTTTGTTGGAACTTGGAACTAATGCTGCACAAAGGATTTGGAGTAATTACCTGCTACATGTGTACAGCATACAGCTGGTCAACTAAGAAACCGAAAGTCTGTGGGTCCTGGTGGAGCAAAAGTGTCTGAACAAGGGGAAGCTATCACTTTTGCTGATGTTGCAGGTGTTGATGAGGCTAAGGAAGAGTTAGAAGAAATAGTGGTATGTTTGACATTTCTCAGCTTTATTGACAGTAAAATGTACTCTCGATTGTAATGTTTGTCAATTTGAAAGGTTGATTGTCTCATTCAAGTTATGTTCTTTATGCTTTGTGTTTACGTCCCAGGAATTTCTCAGAAATCCAGACAGGTATATACGACTTGGTGCACGTCCACCTCGAGGTGTTCTCCTGGTGAGTTCTGGATTCTACCAGAGTAGGGATAAATGATTCCTTATGAGTGAATTGAGAAATAAAAAGTCACTACCTGAGATTGCACACCACATGTCACATGGAGAGTCATGATGATATGCCAGCGGCACTTTGGCAGCTGCAAGACAGATGCGGAATGGGACGAATTTTCTAGAACTTATTTTACTTTACAGAGTGTGTACAGCCGATAATATGTAACTGTGTTGGTATCTGAGATAAATTCTCTGGACTACTTTTTTTTTTCTTTTCCCGGTCCTTCTGATAGCTAAAAAGTTGCGAAGGATTGGGCAGTTTTGATCTTTTATGTTGAACAAAACTTTCTTTGCAAAATGGAGGCTGTCTATTGCTGTTTATTATAAGAACATTCTACTAGTAAGTTTTTTTTTTTTTTTTTTGTCTATGTGAGATTTAATGTATGGAACATAATTATTGCTTTGGTTATTATACAGGTGGGTCTTCCTGGGACAGGTAAGACTCTTTTAGCAAAAGCTGTTGCCGGGGAAGCTGAAGTGCCGTTCATAAGTTGTTCTGCAAGTGAGTTTGTGGAATTGTATGTCGGCATGGGAGCATCTCGTGTCAGAGACCTCTTTGCAAGGGCAAAGAAGGAAGCACCCTCAATAATATTTATTGATGAGGTTAGAGTTTGCAGATTCTTATTCTCTTTCTTTCCTTGCCCCAATATCTTTTAAAGTATCATGTTCAACCTTTAAATCTTCCTGGTATATGTTAGTCAACTGTTTCCTCTTTATGCAGATAGATGCTGTAGCCAAAAGCCGTGATGGGAGATTTCGCATTGTCAGCAATGACGAGCGAGAACAAACCTTGAACCAGCTGCTCACTGTAAGATTCCCGCAAAGTGGTCTTTCTGCTTCTGGAGTATATCTGCTTTGCCTTGGTCAGATTCTTGTATTTGCAATACATTGCAGGAGATGGATGGATTTGACAGTAACTCTGCCGTGATTGTTCTTGGAGCAACCAACCGTTCAGATGTTTTAGACCCTGCCCTTCGCCGACCTGGGAGATTTGATCGTGTGGTTATGGTTTGTTGTCTTTTTTCATTAGAATATATCTTCTCTGAATGTTGGAATTTGACATTGGAATAAGTTTATCTGCACAAGACCATAACAATTCACACCGAAATAATCTGTATTATTTGGCTTCTTAGGTGGAAACACCTGACAGGACTGGAAGAGAAGCCATTTTGAAAGTACATGTTTCGAGAAAAGAACTTCCTCTGGTAGAAGATGTCAATCTTGGTGATATTGCTTCTATGACCACAGGTTTCACGGGGTAATAATGCTTTTGTAATCCAGTAAAGGAGCCAGGCCTTCAAGTTTAGCTATAATTATGTCATTAACTAACACTTCGGAGTGAATTGTTGATTTGGGATTCTGTGCAGGGCAGACCTTGCAAATTTGGTAAATGAAGCTGCTTTGTTAGCTGGAAGACAAAATAAAGTTGTGGTGGAGAAAATTGATTTTATTCAAGCAGTGGAGAGATCAATTGCTGTAATCCTTTCTCTCTCTCTCTCTCTCTCTGTGTACATGCACAATTTTCTTCATTATGTTGAAAATTTCCAGGATTTGTGTTTTCATCCAATATAAATTTTGACCTTAATTTGTGTTTTTTTTTTCAAAAATATCAAAATATAAAAGAGCACCGAAATTATCAATTCCTGTCCAGATATTTTTTGTTAGTGGCACTAAATATTTTGCAGCTGCTATTGCATCTATTGGTGAGCAAAGCTTTATTTTTAAAATAAGTCTTCTCTATATATGTAGTGACTAATATAAGCTGATCTGTGTTCACTGTTCTGCTGGGCTTGTTCATGGTATTCAATCTTAAGATAAGAACTGCCCAAAGTAGATGGTAAGGACTTTGAGTTGGAAGCTTAGATCCTTTGATAGAAAACTGAAACTACGTATGTTTATTAGATCATGATCCATGCGTAGTGCTTTTGTTATTGGGACACAGATTCAAGGAAACCTACGAGAATCTGTTATGCGGATAACAATAAGAAACAAGTGTGAAGTGTTAGTGGGATTTTAAAGATATTCCGGCAAAAAGGGAGATCAAGAAGTGATTGCCTCGTTGTAGATACTAGATAGCAATAAATATATCACTTCTCATGCTTTCAGTTCAGGTCTTGCTTGTGATTTATAATATTACCTGAAGGTTTTGTGGAATGAAAAACTGGTAATGTTTCACCCATGATAAGGAGTCCAAAATTGTTCAGTTGCAACGTCAAGCTGATGGAGTGATCAAGTACTTTTCACATGCTGGGTGGATTTAACCAGATCATGGTGTATCATTACAGTTCTCTAGAGGATTCCTCCACACGTGGTTGAAGTATTACTGAAATGACTTGGTAGATTCAATGCACAATTCACAATTGACCTTGAGGTGACGTTAAAAAAAACTTGGGGTGACGGGAGAAACTTAAGATCATTTTAAAGACCACACAATAGGCAGATTTATTTGAAATTTATTTCAAATAAATATAACGCTTGAGGGGCCACTGCCTGGTATGATAGTGAAATGCTCAGGCCTGATGTTGTTGGTTCAAAACTTAATGCAGCCACTTTTTGCAAATAATGCCGAAGGTTAGACCTTTATCCTGTCCACCTTCCAATTCCCACTGGTTAATGGGGGACCAACTTATGTGAAGACAATTATTTTCGTAGTGTAAGGCTCTGTTGTTTTGGGCATATAGGTTGTAGGAGTGACGAGCTATGAAGTGAAGTCGCTCTCTCCCATATTACATTAGCTCTTGGAAGAAAATTGAACAGGTTACATTCTTGCATTTATTCCATAATAATTTTTTTGGAGGGAGCACTTGTTGCACTTCCATCGTGCAATATGGGTAGCATTAGTTAGAATTCTTTGGTTTCTAAGGACCAAAACTTAAACGCGCTGTTTCTGAGGCCTCTGTTCTTTTGCTGTGCTTGATTTTGAGTGTTAGGCATTTTTTTGAATTTTGAAGTTGAATGTTGTAGTTTTTCTGTTATAATCTCATATGACATTCAACTTATACCAGAAAAACTATGACAAGAATGCATTCTCAACACATTCAACTTCAACAGAGTGTTGAGAATGCGTTCTTGTTAATTTTAGCTTTTGTAAGCATCGTCCTTGCTGTTATTCCTTTGTGTTAAGGTACAGAAGTTTCAATTTTAATGTTGCAGGGAATTGAAAAGAAAACAGCCAAGTTGCAGGGTAGTGAGAAATCTGTAGTTGCACGGCATGAAGCTGGGCATGCAGTGGTGGGAACTGCTGTAGCAAATCTTCTTCGTGGGCAGCCACGAGTTGAGGTATAGCCCCATATGCATTGGATAATCGTTCTTCTTTTCCTTTATGAAAAAATAAGTGTTTGAAAATACATTTCCCCTTTCTTGAGATTTTCCTACTATTTATTATTTGTTTTGTGGGAAAATAAGGGAGGGAAAAGAAAGGGGTGGTGTGCTTGGGTGGGCTTATTATTTACTTGCTAGACTAAAATGATTGAAAACCTTAGACATGAAGGCTTTGTAACTGCAATTCATTGCATCTATTGCACAGAGTATAAGGTATTAAAGGTATTGTGTGTGCTGAAAAAAACGAAATTAGCTGACCACATTTAAAGTGACTTCTACAGTCCCCCGGGGGGGGGGGGGGGGGGACACATTATACATTTACATATTTTCCTGCCTCATTTTCTTACCACAACCATTATATATACCTGCGCGTGTGTGTGTATATGTATAGTTTTTGATACATTTAAGCAGAGAAAGAGCCCCAGAAGAGGCGCAGGCCAAATATGCACGGAGTAAGTGAGGCAAGAAAATTATCAGAACCAAACCTGAACCGGCATTATCAAAGGAGGTTATGTATGTGGAAAAAAGTGCTCCAGTGGTTTTAATCTCTTTTGAACTCCTGATCCACAAATTGAGGAAAAAAAACAAGCTTGTTGAAGTTGAGGGATTGGTGGTTATGGCTTATTGAAGTGTCAAACTTAGTTTTTGATTTTGCTAGGATGCTGCTATCTTTGGGTGCCGTTAAGGGGAAAATTGTATCTTGTTAGACACAGAGACGGCTTATCTGACATTTGAGTGTTACCTAGTTTTGGGTTTAAATGTATTTTGATGTTTAAGCAGATTCCTTGGCTGATAGTTGGTGTTGTTGGCATTTCAGACATCAGTTTCTGTTGCTTGGGATCTAGTTTGGCACGAGGGAGAATCTTTTCTTTGTTTGCGTCTCCTTTTTTGTAATATTATTTTCTTTGTGTGTTATTTTTTTTACTGAAAAATGGGGATATCCACACTCTGGTATATATATTTTCAGTATTAGGCATCTGATACTTTAAACTATCCATTGCGTCATATTTGTGAGAGGAGACTCTTGATGGACTTAATTCAATGCTAACTTGATAAACAAAAATATTTTTAGACCAGTATGTCCTGTTAAATTGCAAACTAAGGAACTCGAGTTTTACACCAGAAACACTCGTTGGAAATCATCTCCTGCATCAATTAATCTTTATAGATAAGTCTATATATTACATAAATGATACAATACAATGATATGCCATTTTTCTTTCTTAGAAACTGAGCATCTTGCCGAGGTCAGGAGGGGCATTGGGCTTCACTTACACTCCTCCAACCAATGAGGATAGATATTTGCTCTTTGTTGATGAATTACGTGGACGCTTAGTTACTCTTCTTGGAGGGCGGGCAGCAGAAGAAGTTGTTTACTCTGGTCGTGTTTCAACAGGTGCACTTGATGATATACGGCGAGCAACGGACATGGCATACAAGGCAGTGGCTGAGTATGGCCTTAATGAGACTATAGGCCCTGTTTCAGTGGCAACACTTACTGCTGGTGGGATTGACGAGTCTGGTGGATCCATGCCTTGGGGAAGGGAGCAGGTCCTCTTCTGCATCCTTGACTTCCTTTTATTTTGGGCATATTTTTTATATTTCTAGGTGTATGGTCCTTTTCTTTACTTTAGAAGAAGAATTGATCCTAGTTTAACATGACAGGGGCATCTTGTCGATCTTGCTCAAAGGGAGGTTAAAGCACTGCTGCAATCTGCACTCGAAGTAGCACTCTGTGTTGTGCGTGCTAATCCCACAGTTTTGGAGGGGCTTGGGGCCCATTTGGAAGGTAATATGTCACTCATGCTTGTTATGAAATCTCTAAATGGTTGCACATTAGGTTTCAGTACACAACATTCTGACAAATAGCTTATACTGCATGAGGTTCGACTGAGCATTTTTTTCTTATATTCTGGAGTTAAATAATGCCATTTTTTTCCTTCAGAGAAAGAGAAAGTAGAAGGTGAAGAACTGCAAGAATGGTTGAAATTGGTGGTTGCACCAGCAGAGCTTACATTCTACATTAGAGGAAAACAAGGGTCTCTTCTTCCACTACAGTGATTCTGGATACCGACTAGCACATGCTTAACTCGTCTATCTCAAGTGAAGTATCGGGCTTTAAGTATCAATTCCAGTCACCATGCCTCATTTTCAAGCAAAAATAGAGCTAATAGATCTTTGTGCCATGATGCCACTGAAAAACACCCCAGTATTCTCACCAACTCACCCTTGCAAACTTTCTATATCTCATTAAGGTAATTCGGGATCAGCCTAACATTCACCCACTTGTACTTTGTTTCATACCATGTTGTAGTGGTTCAATAATATATAGAAAGATCATCAATTGAAGGTTTAATGGTGTGAGAGCCTTCACTTAAAGTGTTGTGGCGTTGAAACAGAAATGAGCCTCCCATAATTTGGCGAGTTAGTCTTCGTCTTCCGTTGTATATCTGACTCTTATACATTACTGGCTATTGAGAAATTGTAATTTGTATTGTAAGTGTTATTAACATTTCCATTTGTTGAAATATAACATCATTCCATATTTTCAGCAGGCGTCCTGCAAACATTGCAATTTATAATATATTTTGTATTTTTGCATCTACAATATATATATACTAGTTATTGTCTGTGCCTGAAGGCACAGAGTAATAAAAAATGGTAAATAATAAATATATTTGTATTTATATCTAAAATTAAATTACAAAAATAGAAAAGAGATAAAGAACTTTAAATAGTGGTGGCGGCTACGACGGCGGCGGCGGCGGTGGTAGTGGTAGCTACGACGGTAGTAGTGGTGGTGGTGGTGACGACGACGACGGTGGTGGTAATGGTTGCAACGACGACGACGCTGGTGGTGGCAATGTTGGCAGTGATGGTAAAGGTGGTGAGACGATTTTAAATATTATTTTTTTTAAAGTATTTATGAGAAATAATTTTTAGAAGTACTTTTAAAAAGTCACTCCAAACACACCCTTATGAGCCGATTTCTCCTATTAAATTTAGAGTGTTAATATTAGCCGTTATATTAATTTTAAAGTAAAATTTAAAGTGATCTCAACCGTAAATAGCAAAAGTCATTTTGTTTATTTTTTGAGATTTGAATTGTGAGCTACTTTATATATATACTAGTCATTGCCCGTGCCTGAAGACACTATGTTATTTAAAAAATTTCAACACACAAAAATAGGATGTTTAAATAATTTCAACATATAGCGGTTAGATTGGTGTTGAATATTTTTTGTTGGTGCAAGTGGTATCTTATTTTTTTTTATATTGATCACATTTTTTTTAATTGCTAATTAATTTGGGCTTTGAATTTTTTTTTAATTTTTTGAGAACTATAGGTTTTCATATAGTAGTGATATATTTTTGGTATGAATAATAAGTTAATTTTATTTATGGATTATAAAGACAATTTACACTTCATTGATTGATAAGAAGTAAGAAGTAAGAAGTAAATATCAAACATCGGTACTAAGATGCGTGATAAGAAGATGTACTTATAGTGTACTCTAGGTATAAATCAGTTTATAATAAGAAGAATGAAAAATTATATAGTAAGTATATAATGGTTTTTAACGAAATATTATACTAATGGTTTTGAAAAATCGATATATTAAATAACTTACACGTCCAAAAATGGTGACATTATTCATTTGGGTACTAGTTTTTGTGTTATAGTGACGGTGTGTATGCGGTTATTGAGGTCAAATGTTAAACTGTCAAACTTTGAAAAAAAAGTACTAAACTTAGAGATATTATGTATTTTATGTGTATTTAATAGAAATATTTTTAATTTTATGCAAATTTTTATAGTAAAATTAGAAATTAAACAAAACCGACATAAATCAAGGTACAAACAATACATTTTTAACATATAACATTTAAATCATTTAATTTAAAATGAATTCAATCTAAATTGTTATTGTGCTTTTTAAATTTAAGATAGAGACGTATGAGAGATAGGAGTGTAGTGTCTTATGATAAGAGACTTTTCATGGGTGGGAAAAGAAATTCATGACTAACTGTAAACCGTTAGATTAAATTTTTTGAGATGATCTAAACCATCTTTTATGTTGGGATTACGTAGTCTGTTAGATGTGTTTATGTTTTGTCTCAAAACGATCTGGACCTCTCTTTGTCGTTTGAATTTAAACTTCGTTCTACTTTATTATATAGATATACAAAATACTGGAGCATAGGTATTGGAGTTGTACTTCTGGATTAGATGCTTGTATATATTTTTTCAGTGCGCAGAGAAATTGTTTGTCTTACTTCATTGAGTAATATTTACATTACGATAAAATAATTTAATACGTGGTGTTTTTGGTTCGTCTTACGACTTTTAGCCTCCATCCCCATTGCTACCATCGTCGTCGCCGCCACCACCTACCCTCCTAAATGCAATCACTGCTCTTTTGGTTAGCACGGGGTCATGAGTTCGAAAAGTAATGGTAGATTTTGATTTAAATTGGGTTAATTATAATTTATCTTCTTTAACTATGTCTATTATTGTAATCAATTTTCTAATGCAATTTATCCCTTTTAAGTTTTAAACAGACTGCAACAATGGTTGCAACATGAAAGTATCATTTATACCCTCCATATTGTACATTATTTCTCATATTTTCCTTGAGATTAGAGATACCAATTCTATTACTAAAAAAATAATGAAATACAAAAGCTATAAAAAAAAAACATCTTTTCAGTTCAATACAAATACATTACATAACATTATGTTTACTTTCACCTCCGTCCCCACCCAACACTAGCACGCGCACATGCACATACACACTCACTTTTTCAACGGTAATTGTATCTTTTTAACAAAGTAGAAATAACGTGAATTTTTTATATCTAACTCATGTCAATTTTTATTGTCTAAAATTAACTATTGAAGTTAATTGTAAAATTTTCAAACTTAAAGAGAACGGTAAGGGATGAATGACAAACTACACAAAGTTGAAGAGATATTTTTATAATTAGCCCTTAATTATTTATAATCATTGATTAGAAAAAATAATAAAACAAAATAAAGTAATAATATATCTAGTCACGTGTCAATAATTATTTTTTGATACAGTTAATAATTACATTTGAAAAACATTATTCAAACTTAATTTAGTAATCAAACCAATTATAATCATTAAATTAAAAATAAGTTTCATTCAACTTTAAAATTTATAATTAATTTAATAATTATAATGAATTAAATTCGTCCCAAAATTAAGTCCAGGTTGGCTGGCTAGTGGGCTAACAGTATGAGGGTCCTGACAAGGGTTATTTAGCAGATGTAACACAAAGATATTTTGAAAGCAGGACCAATATTTTAAACCACGTCGTTTTCTTCTGTGAGTGTAACGAGATATGAGAAGAGACAAAATAAGTTAAGGCGGCCACGCACCTTTTACTTAATAAATGGACCACGGTCCAACTTGTCTTGTTTCTGTACTGGGCCCACGGTCCAACGTTTTGTGTGTATACTGGGGCCACGTTTGTTGTGGCTGCTGAATTTAATAGATTTTCTACTTCAAAATTGTTTAATAATCAAGTTTATAAATTTTAGACACTTCTAAGTCTAATATACACAACTAACCACCAAAAAAAAAAAAAAAACTCTAGTATAAATAATTGGTTTTTTTGTACTTTGCATCTTGAAAGATTCAAGATTTTTATTTTATATCTTCAAAGATTAAATGTTTCACATTACTCCATCAATGTATCAAAAATGTTACAGTATGATCATTTCGTTAACTTCTGTTATTTTTTCCATAAAAAATCAACCCATTGAAACTAATGAAAAAAATTAACGAAAAGCTAACAGAAGGGTCACATTACAACACTTTTAATACATTTAGGGTACATTGTGAAAATTAAATCATTAAGGGTATAAAGTGATAATCTTAAAAAATTTTAGAGTACAAAGTGTAATTCTCCAAAATAATTTTCATTTTTGAAATAATCAAAATATTTATGAAAAATAAACTATGTGCTAACTAAAATGCAAAGAGATGTTTTAGAGCACTTGATTAATTCAATTGCAAGTTTGTCATACCCTAAAACTTGAACAAGGATCTTATGCTTTTATAAAATAAATTTGCATAATTGTGACATAAACGAGCGTATATACGACATAAGTGATCACATAATACACACACTAATGATTGAGGAATGAATGAAAAAAGATTGAAAACAAATTCATGGATGTTGATCCACTCATATACAATCATTGAAAAAAAAAAAACTATCTCATGCACTCTCTATAAATATGGCTCCACCTATATATTATCATATAGAAAAGGTCACTGTGTTTTTTTTAAAAGTAAATGGAAACCCACTATGTTCCCAAGTCGTATGCGACAAGTTCAAATATTCTTTGCCATGGTCCAATTATAGTAAGTTTTGGCAGACAAAAGGGGTAGCTTGGACACTCAAATTTTGATTATTACTTGAATAAAAGTGCCGTGAGGAAAGAGCTTATTAAATCCACTAGCTTATTCCGGTAACCGATAACTTTAGTAAAAGCATTAAAATCAAAGTAATATTATTTGGACTTAAAAATTTAATCTAATTTGTTGATATAATAATGTGGCTTCAGCAGAACTATAGGATCAACACCAAGTTCTAATATTTGATGGACCTCAAAGTCAATCCAAAAGTCATAATGAATTAGGTCAGCAAATTAAATTAATAAATTAGATCTCCATAGCATTGCTCTTAAAATAATAGTTCAAGTAGCTCTCTCAAACCTAAGTAGTTTATGTAACGACAGAGATGAGTTGTAAGATGTCTTGAGTTCGAATCTTAACAACTCCTTAAAACTAAATTATGAGTGACAAATCTTTCATGAGTACACTAATCTTCGGCATGAATAACTTAAATAGTGGTAAAAAATATTAATTGATATTAAACTAATCAAAATTCAGAATTAAAATCCAATCCATTTAGAAGGCCAAATGAAACTCTTCCACAAGTTTTTGTCAAAAATGTCTGATTCATTTGAATGTATTAAGTGCCCTTAGGCCTACCATTACCTAAAGAGAAAGAACAAACATGCAGGATCCTCAACACTAAATCACCTGTATGTGTATTTCCATTCTTCTCTGAATATGTGATGAGGGGTGGGCAGAATGAATTAATCATCCTCTTTTATTCAATTGCTTTCTCTTTTTAGCAAAGCATTATTCCAATTTGATGTTTTTAGGCATTGTATTTAAATGCAAATCCTCAATGTGTATGGTCATTTACAAAATATGAATTAAGTCGGAATCCTATTATTCTAGAATAATAATAAACAAACTAATAAACATCTATTTCTCTCTCCTCTCTTTAAGTCATCTTTCGTATTCTCTCTATTTTAAATTATATAATTAAATAAAATTATTATTTAATATATAAATATTATATGATCAATGCTTAATTTTTAATATTGTGTGTATGAAATTTTAAGAGATGGGGTTATTTCGAGTGAAAAATTGCTAAGAGCAACTCTAAAGGGAATTGTCATTTTGGAGTGTCAAATTATTTATTTGTAATCTTGAACAGTGTTTTGACATTCTTGAATTATAAATCTGTTTCAATGGCAGGTGCGAAAAATGGGTGTCATTTTAATATTTTTCATTGCTACCAAAATATTTTAATATATTTTAACGGATATTTCCTTAGAATTACTCTTAAAAAATATAATTAAATTCATTTGTAATCTCTCTCTTTCTTTCTCTAAAATTGCCAAATTTATCGCTCCAAGAGTATGGATGTCATTTTCTAACCCTTGTTATCATCCCAAATGAAGTAAAATATTTTGAATTTGGAATAATATTTTGATAGTTAGGAGGTTGTCAGTCCTGATGTCACTTCCCTCGGAATTGCTCTACGCACACACTTGAGTCACACGGTACGAATTGTCATATTGTAGTCACGTGCCATTCACGGATCTAGTGTCGCTGTTGTTACGTAGTCATTCGACTGAAATTCAGGAGATTCTGTGAACGCCTAGTTACACTTAGAGCTAGTGAGCCACATAATAATTTTAGTACCTTTTTTTTTACCTCCAGATCTTCTTCATCCTATATATATTAAGCCACCCAGGGCCTTCTGCCCAATTTTCTGCTCTAATCACTCTTTTGCTTCTCCGACTGCGAGTGTGTGAACAGATAAGATCAGATCTGAGGTTTGTTTTCCTCTCTCTCTCTCTCACACACACACACACACGCACACACCTATTCACCCTCACACATTTGCACTCACACTCACTCACACTCACACATACACACTCCCTTGCAAAACATAATGCTTCGTTTGGTAGGAAGGATGAAAAATAGGAATGAAGGAAAGTAGGAGGGATACACTTTCATCCTTTTTTGCTCAGAGATCTACCTTACTATAATAAAAATTTTAGTTACTATGATTACAAATAATGATGGTATAAATTTATCCTCTATCAGGCTGAGTTTTTAATGCACTCCTGGTTCATACAGTTTAGCAAGGAGTTCAAAAGTCAGCTTCCTTGTTGGTTTTCACAGTGGTGGCTGGTTCACGATACTATGCTTGAAATCCTTCAACTTGATCTTCAGGATCAGGTAACCGATTTCTCATCTACTTATAAATCTAGTAAACATGAGTCTAGTTTTCCTAGTTTTTTAATTTTCATGAAAAAATATAAAGTCTCATGGATATGCAATTGGAAATGGGAAATTGTAGCAGGATATGATATATGATAGTTTCACGTGAAATGGGGCCCAAGTTCCAGCATCAACGCATTATTGAACAAGTACAATAGGAGTTCTCACACACACACACATTCACACTCACACATACACACTCCCTTGCAAAACCTAAGAATAAGTTACGACTATATTCATATCTTTATGAGTGTGCACCAGTATAATGTGTACATCTTGCAATACATCTTTCATAGGTTTTTGTTGCTAATATTTTTTTTTTTTTGGATATTTCTCAGCATCATCTTTTATATGCACTTTTTAATTGTTGATTTTGATTTTTGATCTTATAGGTCAGTTTTGTATAAGGAATTTTTTTGGTTTTTTATGTGATAGTTTTGGATTTATTCTTGTTTGACTTTCTTAATTTGTAGAATGATTTGAGGTCTTTAACTCTAGTTAGCTACGATTTAATTGCAGCTTCATACGATTTAATGTAACATTTGAGTTTGTAGCTCTATTATGATTCGGATTAAATTGGGCATAGTGCTACTCTAGTCAAATTTGTCTACAAAACTTCTCATAACAAATGACATGGCACATTTCTGAGCGTTAGATTTACATTGGACCCCATTTATTTTATGGTGGAGAATGTCTTATGTCAGAAAGTTTCAGTATGTGTCAGAAACATTTGATGTAAATTGGTTGTGGCTTGAAGGTTTGTTCGGTGATTGAATGTATTGAAAACATAATGAGTTTTCTGCTGCCGTCATTATACTAGGACATGGTTACTGTTACAAAAGACCCCACCGTTTTCCTTTTTAGACCTAAATGTAAGGCCGACCAACTGACCTTTTAGTTTCAACCATCATGATCCGACTATATTGATCCTCAATTATATGGGAACTTTGCTAATGCATTCGACTTCGCATTTTTCTAGTCTTTGGACTTGAAATTCTATTTAGTACAGCCACCCCAAAGTGTACCCTAAGTACGAAATGAGAGCTCATAACGAGTTCCATTTATAAATAATGGTATGCATTTGATGCAGATGGCGCCGTGGAATCAATGACAAATATCATTTTAGAGCATTGAAACTTTGTAGTTCGATTTGCTTTTCATATTTAAAGCTTTTGTTTAAGATCCATAATTGTATAAAGATTGCCAAAAAACAAAAAGGAAACATTAAAGATATGTGTTTTATATTAGATATCAGTGTAACAAGTAGTTGTAACAGTCAGTCAGTTGTAGTTGGTTTCAGCTCAAAGATTGACTGCTCTATGAGGTCTTTTGTCGTTTTAATCTTGTGAAGAGCATTAGTCATTTTGACTGAAGTTAACCTGCCTTCAGATGCCCAGTAGTAGTAAATGCCATGTATGTACGTTATCTCCTGTTGTTGATTGAAACCTTCTGACTATGTCATTGTTTGTTAGCTCAATCCAGTTATGGCATCAATCAATATTACTCTGACATCAGTTGTGTGCAAGAACGGCAACCATTCTGCTCCCTCAAAGTTTGCACATACTTTTTTCCTGCCTAGGTTTGATGTGGTTGGACATGGGTCTGTCATGCGGAAGAAGGAAATATGTCCCACTACCATTTCAGCCTGTAAAGCTACATTAACCTTTGATCCCCCAGCAACAAATTCAGAGAAAACCAACCAAAGGAAGCACACAGTAGATCCTGCTGCCCCAGACTTCCTTCCCCTTCCTTCCTTTGAACAATGTTTTCCAAAAAGCACAAAAGAATCCAGGTTACTCTTTGGTTCTTGTATTCTTGGTCTGGGGTATGTAGCTTACTGATGTTTTACATCGGCATGCTCTCATTTGCATTTGCTGGAAAAAGTTTGATGAATGGATCTGCTATACAGGGATGTTATTTATGATGAATCTGGCAATGTGCTCAAAGTTTCATTTCGAAGGGTTCACCTATCTGGGGATGAACCCCATTTTGACACCTATGACACCAGTGTTCCCCAGAATGTTAGCCCACGCAACGGTATGAACATCAAGCTTTTGTGTTGCATAATTTCTCGTCTCTAATCCCTTCAATCTCTTTCCTTTTGGCAACAAATATTTTGGTTGTTATTTTTGGCAATGACTTATTTTTTCCTGCATGTTTGTAGTATGAAGCTTCTATAACTTGGCGTACACATTTACTTCTCAAAAAATTTACCACTTTCGTTTAATAGATTATGGCAATATTTTTGCCTCAGTTGATATTATAGTATTTGATAATACCACACTTCTTTCTACTATGCTATGTGAATCTACATTTACCTCCTTTTCTATAATTTCTCTCATATGGTTAAAAGGATTCCGCTCTATAATAATCATGGTCACTCATATTCCGTCAACTTGGTGGCTAAAAAGTTTATGTTTTGTGATGAGACATTTTCAGACACACCAAGATGACGACAAGTGTATTCGGCACCAATGGAGATTCTCTGCTGTGATTCCAACACATCCTCGTCGGTTTATAACCCTTTTCCCCGAGGGTACTATTCATAGGGATCAAGGATCCCCAATACGCCATGGACCGACACGTATCCCTCGGTCAGTTTGGGATATCAGTCCCTAATCATGCTAGTACCTTGGCACCAAGGTGTATCTGTCCTCGTGGGCGTTTCTGCTCCTGCAGGGGCAATTGATTGACAGGTTACTAGCCTAGGCTAGGCTAGACTAGTCATCATAACATCGTGCTAAGCAAATGGTGTCAGGAGGCACAACGAAGCAGAAGGCTCAACCAAAGGGGAATGAACACATGACATATTGTGTCAGGTCAGAGACAAAAAGACCAGAATGTCCTTGCTGACACACGGCTTGGGAGGTCAGGCATTTAATGCATCATTCACTCGATGAAACAACATTTAATGCATAAGAGCCTGAAAGTGAAAGGTAATAAATGTTCCTATGCCTGGGCACTTAATACATCCCTGTCGAGAGAAGGTCATTAAATGCTCAGTAGACCGAGGAGAAAACATTAATTGTTCAGGGTCCTGAGCAGTTAAGAATGAAAATATTTCTCATAGAAATTAGTGTGCACACTGCCCACCTCTAATGATTACCTACTAGGTACGCTGTCAGCAATGATGAGTTTTGTAAAGTATAAATAGTCCTCATAAACACATTAAAAAGGTACGTAAAAACCCATTTTCAAGAATCATATAGTGTTTTCTTCTTCTCCTCTCTCAAGGAACTAACTTGATCATCGGAGGGGATACACCGAAAAACACTCTGGCGCTCTTCTAACCTATTTTTCTCTGTTCCAAAAACCTCTCTTAGCCTACCAAGACCAGTAAGGCGACCTATAAAAACAATCCATCATCATTTCATAGGCCACCTTCGGCCCTCACAACCTATTCCAAGTAGCAAGATTGACCACTCGATCGACGGACTCGTGTTCACCACAGAAGAGATCTGTTTTTGTGTTTATATTGTGCAAGAACATGCACGCACAATATGGCACCGTTTGTGAAAAATGACTAGTTTTCTTAGTTTATTTTCTAGAAAGAAACAGTGACCATGGTAAATACTCGACAGAAAGGGAAAGACCCCCAGCAAAGAAGTCTCGAGTTACAAGCTCCTCACCATGGTGGGGGGAGGGATCATGCTGGTGACAACAGGAACGTTTCTATTCAATCAATGGGGGATACTCCTCAAACCAGTATGGGCATTAGGTTAGGAGGATCCACCCCCTTGGCTCGTCAATTGGCGGAAGTGATCGAAGAAAAGTTTAGGGATCGACTACGACAGTTAGAAAAAGATAATGTGAATATCTTAAGCCGTCTCAACGAATTTGCAACCCCCGGTGAAGGATCGAGGGACTCATTCCGTTCCCGCGGATGCTCCATCCGGGAAGCAAAAACCGAGGACTTGAAGAATCATTTAAACAACAAAGCTGAGAGTTCCAGGGTCCCAAAGCGTCTGAGAGCCAATGAGCACCCCCTCAATGGTCATTCCAAGAAGGCAAGACCTTTGGCTTTGGACGACCTTCAGCGAGGACTGTTCAGGTGGGGGAAGGGGACAAGTCCGAGGAGAATTCAACCCTTTCCACACGATGCCCAGAGAAGGGGAATCCCGTCAATGACCTTAGAAACCTCAGAGGACATCCCCCTGAGGTGGAAACTGATCTCAGAGCTTGGCTGGAATCCAGAAGAAGGGGTAAGGCTGTCTAGGACAACGCAGAAGACGAGGCCATGCAATCCCCTTTTACTAGAGATATTCAAGAGATGGAGGTACCAAAGAAGTTCGTCGTGCCAAGGTTCAAAACTTATGATGGGCGATCTAATCCCGAAGCTCACCTCAGACAATACAAGCAAATGATGTCCCTATATCACTCGGACCAACGGCTCCTTTGCCGAGTGTTCTCCATGAGTTTGGGAGATTCCGTTATGAAGTGGTTCGAGACTCTTTCTCCCAACAACATTGGGTCATGGAAGGAGTTGGCGAGACAGTTTTTAGCCCAATTCATTACGGGGAGAAAGCGGTCCAAAGATATTGGATCATTACTGACGCTCAGGCGGAAGGAACTGGAAACCCTTCGCCAATACGCCATTCGATACTAGGATGAGGTTAATTAGATAGAGGGGTGTTTAGAAGTCATGGCAGCCGCATCCTTTAGGCTCAGCCTGGCAAGGGACACGGACTTGTACCGATCCCTAACTAAGAAGACTCCCTTAGATTTGGGTGAATTAATGGCCCAGATAAACAAATACTTCAGGATTGAAGATGAAATGGGGGGCGACAAAGAAAAAACTCTCACCCCTAGGAGAAAAGAAAAGGAGAGGGAGGACACCTCCCGAAAGGGGCTGGTACCCCCTCCAAGAAGGTCATTTAAAGGTGTCCACACTGTGTTCAAATAAGTCATCTACAAGTTTCTCTATAAAATCAAGCATGAGTCATTCTTCAAGTGGCCGCCTAGGATGTAAAGTGATCCTTCTACGCGTGATTTCGGTCATCGCATTGAAGATTGTAGAGTGTACAAATCTTTCTTGAAAAAGCTAGTCTAGGACGGTTACTTGAAAGAGTACATCGAACCCAAGTCTGAAGAGGGATATGCTTCTGCCCCGACTGTGGCACAAGACAACGTCATAGACGTAATCCACGTGTGTCCATTGGATCGTCTGACATCTAGGGAGCTCAAGTCCGATCTCAAAAAGGGTAGCCTTTACAAGAAAGGTTACCGAAAGCAATGGGGGCCTGCCCAGCAAGAGAACCAGAACTAGCGAGCCGAGTATCACGTTCTCCAACGCAAACTTGGCAGGCGTGGTGACCCCCCATAACGACGCCCTAATCATAACTCTGAAGATAGGCAAGTTCGACGTCAAGAGGGTGTTGGTAGATTTTGAGAGTTCCTCGGAGGTAATGTACTCCAAAACCTTAAAGTTGATGGGCTTTAGCCTCAGGGACCTCACCAAGGTTAGGACCCCCCTCGTCGGATTTAACGGCTCATTTGCCCTGTTCATTGGCAAAATTACATTGCCCGTTGTCACGGGTCCCTTCACCATCAACATTAAGTTTGTTGTGATCGATACAGACTCCCCCAACAATGTGATCATGGGACGAGCTTGGTTGCAAGCGCTAGGGACGGTGCACTCCACTTACCACCAGAAATTGAAGTTTGCTACACCAGAGGGTATAATGGAGATCCGAGGGGACCAAGCATCCACAAAAAAATTATTTTTACTCAGCTGTGAGAGCGAGGGTTTTCACCCAAGAGAAGGGACACGCCATGGAGGAAATCCTGAAATAATAGCAATCACAGTCCGGACGTCCAGGAGTGGATAACCCCCGAACTAACCCGACGGACCGATCGGTAGAAGACCTCCGGAAGGTGTTCTTAGTAGATGGTGAAGAGGAAAGATACTTCTTGATTGGCTTCGCAATGCCTACGGCTGAACAGGAAGAGATGATTGCCTTTTTAAGGCAAAATGCAGACGTGTTCGCTTGGAACGCAATAGAAATAAAAGGGATGGACCCCAAAGTAATCACGCATAAGTTATATATTGACCTGACATGCAAACCAATAAAGCAGAAGCCACGGTGCATGGCACCACATCACGCCCGGGCGGTGAACGAGGAAGTCAATAAACTCCTGGAGGCCAATACCATCCGAGAGGTGCAATTCCCGAAATGGTTATTAAACACGGTCTGTGCGAAGAAACAAGGGGAGAAATGGCGTGTCTGCGTAGACTTCACTGATTTGAACAAGGCATGTCCAAAGGACGACTACCCCCTACTAAAGGTGGACCAGTTGGTGGACGTCATCGCCAGGTATCAACGCATGGGCTTCCTGGACACCAGAGCAGGATATCATCAAATCTCTCTCCATCCCCCAGATCAAGAAAGACGGCATTTATCACTTTAATGGGGGTTTACTGCTACAAAGTCATGTCATTTGGGCTGAAGAACGCCAGAGCTACGTACCAGAGGCTGATGAATCGGATGTTTAAAAGACAGATCGGTAATACCATGGAAGTCTACATCGATGATATGTTAGTTAAAAGTAGAAGAAGTTGTGACCACTTGGTGGATTTGGCCGATACCTTCTCCATCCTCAAGGAATATGGGCTGAAGCTAAACGCAACGAAGTGTGTTTTCGGAGTGGAATCGTGTAAATTCCTCGGATATCTGGTGAGTCGGCGAGGAGTCAAAACTAACCTAGATCAAATTCAAGCGATCTTGGACATCTGAAATCCCCGAACGGTCTGAGAAGTCCAGAAGCTCACAGTGATGTTAGCAGCACTTAATTGTTTCATCTTGCGCTTCTCGGACAAATGTAAACCTTTCTTCGGGGCTATCAAGGGGACCGGTAAGGATACGTGGAGCAAGGAATGTGAAAACGCCCTGGCAGGAATCAAGGAATACCTTAGGGTTCTCCCGACTCTATCCGTCCCTACTCAAGGGAAAATGTTCTTCCTATACTTATCCGTATCAGAATTTGCCGTCAGTGGAGTACTCATTTGTGATCATGAGCACCATCAGAAGCCAGTATAT